ACGGACTTCTGCAAAATTAAGATAGCTTTAAAACTGAGAGACTAGCTCGCATAGAAACATACAGACGGACAGACGGATATGGCTCTATCGACTCGGCTGTTGATGCTGATCAAGAATATATATACTTTATGGGGTCGGAGATGTCTCCTTCTATGCGTTACACATTTCACGACAAAATTATAATACCCTCTGCAAGGGTATAAAAATCATATATATCTCTATATATAAAACTGTTTGTCCTGTCTGACTGACTGACTGATTGGTGATCAACGCACATCCCAAACCGTAAGAGCTAGGAAGCTCAAATTTTCACTGTAGTTACCTTATCATTTACCTTTCTCATTTTTCGCAGGATCAAAGCATCCTGGGTAAAAAGTGCAATTCAAAAATTTTTTTGGTGACGCTTTAATTTTTTTTCGATTTGCTTCAAAATTATTTGTAAAGCTCTACACGAAAACTTAATGAATACGTGTTTAAACGATATGGAAAATTCCACCCGCAGCAGTGGCTGATTAACGGAAAACGCTTGTATGAAAGATGTTTGTTTACCGTCCGATCAGTTTCAAAAACATTTTGAAAGCTTTTTGAGAACATTTATTTTACACGTGCCACGGGGAAGGACGGGCTATACCCGCTAGTATATGTATATATATGTATGCTGCATCAGTCTTCTTTTAAAGTTGTCTTCATGCTGCTGTTGGAGAAGGTGGGCGATGTACATCTTTGTACCTTCTAGCTAACGATCTGTCGAAAATTAATAAATATGTTGAAATATTGCCACAATATAAAATTAATATATTGCCAGCTTTGTAAAAAATTAAATTGTTTACTGTCTACAATCATTTGTTTTTGAATTTTAGCTTATAGTATGGGTAAAACAAGGGATTGTAAAAATTAAATTTCCTCCACTCTTTAAGTATCTTAAGTCAAGGATAATGGCCCGGAATCCGCATATACACGAATAAAGCTTATAATTTCACCTAGCACTAGAGTTGTGTCGTTTAGTTCAGACCATGTTCGAATTAAAGGGTAATTAAAATGAAATACTGAACTTATTCAGTGATTAGTGAACTAAATTGGTTATTTAGTTCAGTCGCTCGCTCAGCTGAGTGAACTAAATGACCGATTTAGTTCACGGCTAGAAAATGAACAAGTGAACTTATTCAGCAAACTGAACCAGAAATGCCGAGCTTGGTCAAGATATCTTGATGAACAAAATGTTTTTTCATACAAAAACTTAATTTTCGACCGATCGTTCCTATGGCAGCTATATGATATAGTGGTCCTATCTTAATAGGATTTTGCTTATATATGAGGAGCTTAGTAAAACTAATAATTGCCGAGTTTGGTCAAAATATCTTGATAAGCAAAATGTTTTTTCATACAAAAACTTAATTTTCGACCGATCGTTCCTATGGCAGCTATATGATATAGTGGTCCGATCTTAATAGGATTTTGCATATGTATGAGGAGTAAAGTAAAACTAATAAATGCCGAGTTTGGTCAAGATATCTTGATAAACAACGTGTTTTTCATACAAAAACTTAATTTTCGACCGATAGTGCCTATGGCAGCTATATGATATAGTGGTCCTATCTTAATAGGATTTTGCTTATATATGAGGAGCTTAGTAAAACTAATAAATGCCGAGTTTGGTCAAGATATCTTGATAAACAACGTGTTTTTCATACAAAAACTTAATTTTCGACCGATCGTTCCTATGGCAGCTATATGAAATAGTGGTCCGATCCAGCTGGTTTTGACATATGTGCTGCGTGTAACAGAAATAGGGACTTCTGCAAAGTTTCATTAAGATAGCTTTAAAACTGAGGGACTAGTTCGCATCGAAACAGACAGACGGACTGACGGACATGGCTATATCGACTCGGCTGTTGATGCTGATCAAGAATCTATGTATATTATGGGGTCGGAGATGTCTCCTTCTATGCGTTACACATTTCACGACAAAATTATAATACCTTCTGCAAGGGTATAAAAAAAGTTTATATTTTATTTTATACTGTAAAATTGTGGCAATATTTCAACATATTTATTCATTTTCGACAGATCGTTAGCTAGAAGGTACAAAGATAGACATCGCCCACCTTCTTCAACAATAGCATGAAGACAACTTTAAAAATAGACTGATACATATGTATATATATAGTGACATATCCATAGTCGGACCCACCCTTTAATATAACTTAGCTCATAAGCACAAGTATAAACATTTTCAATTCTTGTAAACAAAAGAGCCTGGTGATAGCATTGACATTGGGCAAGATCAAACTGTCCCCCTTCGGTAGACATAAACAATTCACCCTAAAAATCACGCCACTATCAATATTCTCACTTTAGCATTATCCCACGCATAATTGCTGACGCAGCTCAAACTTCACTCAATTATGAGTCGAGCGAAGTTTGCTAAGCGACGGCAATGGTTAGATAAATTAGTTCAGATTCGGTAACCAAAGCGGATTGTACTCAACATAAGTAACCTTCAGTGAAATTAATAAATTGAAATATATTTTTTTACATTAACTGAACGCGTAAAACTTAATTATATATATATATATATGATTTTTTAATTTGAATTAAATGTGTACTCACTTATTTTTAAGACACAATCGTTTCAACAGCGGTTCCTGTCACCAACGGTACACTTGTTTACCTTTTTATACCCTTGCAGAGGTTATTATAATTTTGTCGTGAAATGTGTAACGCATAGAAGGAAACATCTCCGACCTCATAAAGTATATATATTATAGCCGAGTCGATAGAGCCATGTCCGTCTGTCCGTGTGTCTGTTTCTATGCGAACTAGTCTCACAGTTTTAAATCTATCTTAATGAAATTTTACAGAAGTCCCTCTTTCTGTTGCACGCAACACTTTTGTGAAAACCAGCTGGATCGGACCACTATATCATATAGCTGCCATAGGAACGATCGGTCGAAAATTAAGATTTTGTATGAAAAAACATTTTGTTTATCAAGATATCATAACCAAACTCGGCACCTTTTAGTTTTACTTTACTCCTCATATATATGCAAAATCCTATTAAGATCGGACCACTATATCATATAGATGCCATAGGATCGATCGTTCAAAAATTAAATTTTTGTATGAAAAAACATTTTGCTTTTCAAGATATCTCGACCAAACTCGGCATTTATTAGTTTTACTATGCTCCTCATATATACGGACCACTATATCATATAACTGCCATAGGGACGATCGGTCGAAAATTAAGTTTTTGTATGAAAAAACATTTTGTTTATCAAGATATCTTGCCCAAACTCGGCATTAACTATTTTCCCTGTGCTTCTTAGATACGGGCAAAGCACTATAAGCATTATGAAAACGTTGGGTCTGCAAGGGTATTAGATAGTCGGCGTGCCGAAGATAGCCCTTCTTTCTCGCTTAATGTTAAATTGTCCTAGTGATGGGATTTATTAATATTTTCCTGTACTTAACATAATACTAAAATGTTAATTACCAGAAATGTTAAAATTATGCTCTAAACAATGCTATTCACATATTATTCTAAATATTAAAAATGAATAAAAACACTAACAATCCCCCCTTGTAATGCAGGTGTGGATCCGTGCACTTAACACATTGGTTTAATGCGTGTGTCTTTGAGCATACGAATGAAAAAAAATATATATATTTGTACCTTATATGGTCGTATATGCTTCCTTCTGTGTGTTACGTACATTTGCACAAATATATTAAAAATTATAATTTAAAGTTATCGCCGTAATGCGTAGATTTACCATTAATATTGTCAAGCTTCTTATTGCCGTGAATGTGTATATATGAAAATACAATACAAACAAGTAAGAGGTTCTAGTCGGGAGCTCCCGACTAGGGGATACCCTGAGCCATCTTATTCCAACACCAAATAAATTAATAAAAAAAAGTTACCTTGGCAGGACTCGAACTCGCGACTGACCGCACCACTTGCTATGTCTCTACTCAGCAGCCACACCAACAATTAAGTACTTATGATAAATAAAGGAACTAAAATAACATTACAAAAAAAGATGCAATTACCATGCTATTAGAATGCGAAGCAGACGCTCATGAATGTGAGTGTGTACAAGTATACAGAAATTCTTAAAGCTGCTGCCCCATTCAATTGCGCAGTTGCATATAACTTTGGTTTTTCTTAACCGATCTTTAAATTGTGGTTTAAATTGGTTGGCAATAAAAGTTGGGTTATTAACTTGATTTATAGCTCTGGGAAGGTAGCGGGGAGGTGGCGATAGGTATGAAATGAAAGACACTTGAAATATCTATAATATTCTAGAAGCAACATATCACATTTATTTATCCAAGTTGATAAAAAAAAAACAAGATGTCGATATCAATTTTTATCGATTGCTTGGAAATGGAGTAAGTTATCGATTATCGGAAACAAACTCGATCTACGCGGGAACTAGGAGCACCTACATTCAAGTCTCTAGCTCTTATAGGTTCTGAGATCCTTGCGTTCATACATACGGACGGACGGACGGACAGACAGACGGACATGGCTAGATCGACTCGGCTATTTATGCTGATCAAGAATATATATACTTTATGGGGTCGAAGATGCTTCCTTCTGCCTGTTACATACATTTGGGTTTCGCACAAATACAATATACTCTTATACCCATTTTTAATGGGTTCAGGGTATAAAAATAATTGCATAATAATGAACATTAAAACTATAAAATTTTTTTAGTATTTGTAGTTCACTTTTATTTATTTATTAACCAGTGCTAGTAGCTTTCAGGCTATCATCATTTAAAATAATATAACTTCATTATACCTGTAACTAAAGAGAAAACATGAAACTTAAAGAATATGTAAATTAATAAGTTTTAAAGAAAGCTAATTTTTGTTTATATTTATAAATATACTCGTGATAAATTTTGGTAAAACCACACTTATGTAAATCTCACTCCAGTGCAACGTTGTGAGCTGTGTTGCAAATCATCGAAAACTCACCAATAAATGCATGTCATTTTGTATGTCAAGTGGAGCTGACGAAATACAGAACGAGGATCTTCCTGATCGCACAACCATGTCGGAAGAGAAAGTAGGTCAGCTACAGATAGATTTTTACGAATCTTTAATCCGAGCGGCAAATGAAGCGATGCTGGAGCAAAAGAAAAAGGTAAGCCAAATGAAAATAATTTAATTAAATACAAAAATTCTTCAGCGTATAGCATATTTAGAATTCCTGTGCGTTGCTACTCAGTCTCGTTGCGTCGCCATCCCTGGCACTTCCGGTTCAGTTCCCGCAGTCATAACCATATCAAAGACTCTCAAGGATGTGAAACGACTGCAAGCCACTAAGCAGGCTGTCAAACATGCCATGCAACTACTTGCGCGGGGTGCAGAAAATAAAAAGGTGAGTTCCACAAGAACTTTGGAGTGTCAATTCTTGATATGTGCCGAACGCTGGCCCGGAAACTGTCTCCTCAACCAGAGACTGTAATAATTGTTAAATTGTTATAATTAGAAGACTAATTGATGGGTGTGTTCCTTTTAACTATTTAAATGTGACGAACTATACTTGTACAATATCGAAAAATATTATTAGAGACCAGGCAGGCAAAGTAGAAGGAAACGAAGCCTACAGTTGTACAAGTTTTCTAGTCAAAGGCTCCGGCAAAGAGAAGTATTCCAGTATCAACCAAAGCCCGTGACGGTTATAAAGAGATGCCTGCCACCCGAATAAGTCTTAAAAAGTCGGCGTCTGTACGCAACCCAGCCACGGAGGCGGCATTGGGCATAAAAACGCATAGATGTTCTGAATAAGCTAAATTAATATCAGTAATTAGTTATTTATTTATATATTTTTCTTTGTTATGTTTTTGTTTACTTCAGCAATGGTTATTTGTTTTGTAATGTTTTTCTATTTTGTTTATATTGTTGCATTTGACGTTATCGGTAGCACCGAGGGTTTACCTAGTTATTTGCGTGCGATATAATCGGCCACGCCGATATCTTTTCGTCATATGATCAGAGTATGCGGGGTGAAGCGGCGCCCACGGCGGAGCCCAAATTTTTGAAGGGTGGCAAGCCAGACTTGCGATGCACGGCGCCAAAAGCGACGATTGCTATTGGCCGCCCAGTTCGCTCTTAAAGAGAATTTGAATAGAGTGGATCGCATGCCCTTGGATATACCCTTGACCGTCATTTGGGCCATTGACCCAAAAAAATGCAGCTGTGCAGATGTGCAGATGTGCAGCAACGGTGCCCGCCTCGCCTATGTATGCGTGTGCCGAAATTCGGCACCGATGATGTTGCTGCCCAAATGTGAGAATAGTGCGATTTTGTCAGCGGTCCACAGCGGACGTACCGGCTCACAGTTAAGAAAATCTAAATGTTGGATATTTTATTTTGCCGGTTAAACTCAAATCACACTTGTTTTTTGACGGGTTTTCTTTATTAGTAAATTGCTTAATCCTTATGTGCTAAGGTATTGCAAAAGAAAAAACTTAAAACTTAAGTGCGACGAGACAAGCAAAAAAAAATAAAAATTAACGGCTCCGGCAACAAAGGGACCAGCTCCCGCACCAGCTAAGTGTCGGCGTAATCCACGAAACGGAGGGACGAGCCATCACGGACCAGACGCCAGCAACGAAGAAGCGGCCACAGGCGAGACCACGTCCCCCGAGTGAGTTCGTTCCATTTTTGCCCATCCTCGTTCGAGCCCTTGGCAGAGATATGATGAAGGCTCCTGACCGTACTCCCTGAAAAATAACTGATTTTTTTTTTCGTTAAATTTTTTTTTTTTGGATTTATAAATCTTGTCCATACATACATAGGCACTTACGCCGAGTTTCACTTTAGAGTGCGAACGGTGAGGGAATTTCCAAAGGTGATGCATCTGCGTCTGTAAAAGATAAACATTTAAAATTAACACTTGCGCGAACTATGCTCACATACTAACCTAATTGGAATTATCCATTTACATCGCTCCTTACCTCCCCCAGAGAGCTCTTTAGGTAGGGTAAGGTAGAATTAAGCGATTTAATACAATTTATATCACCTACCTGTTGCACGACCGATTATCGTGACATACCCAGTTTTACGTAGTTGTGTGGGCAAATTGTTCCTAAATTGGCGCTACAATTGCTTCCATGCGAGTTTTTTTTTTTGCGGCGTCTAGCAGTATCCTTGTAGAATTTCGTCGCCTGTTCCACTTAGTGCTGTTAAAGTAAAAAAGGGAATTTTAGAAGATAAGAGAAAAATGTAGGCATTAATACACTTTGTCCATAAGTAAGTAAGAAACGTTCACGTGCATAAATGTTAATCCATCTGGACGGAGACCTCATGCAAATCAGGAATAAAAGAAATATTAAGGCCAATAATTATAAGAATGCACAAACCATTATACGCACCTGTGAAGGTAACCAAATATCCACTTGTATGAGATTCGAAATAGCTGCAAGGATAAATGCCATAAGCAATGATTATAATTGTTATACACTTTAAGAAAACGCAACCAATTATATACCGTATCTGATGAGAGAAATGCCCGGTTAAATTTTCTTCGTTGGGGAGAGTTGGCATAACAGCCGGCACACGCTGATGGCCATCTAATGGACAAGATGAGGGAGACGAGTGTAGGTGATCGTCTCATGGTTGGGCGGGTCCGGAACCGGGGCCCGATCTAAAAGAGTAAGGTGGATAAATAGTGTTTTTGTTAATTTATATTGAGTGTCTCACCTTTGTTGTTTATTTATTTTTTTTTTGATTTGGTGAAGACAGTTGCGAGAACTGTCTATGGGGTTGGTCGTCGCAAAGTAATGCGGCAGATAACCAGATACGTTGTGGCTAGGACAGCACGAGGCAGTCCTGTGTGTAGTCAGTTGTTTGTGTTGGTTCAGTAAGCTGGTGTGTGTCTGTAATTGTAATAATTAATTGATTTGGTTTAGATATTTATTTTTGTTTCATTTATGAATTTTGTTAGTTCTCTTAAATATAAGTTTTTTTTTCGTTTTTAATATATCTTTAGTTGACTGAGCGCGAGTACAAATTTTGTATTTTCTTCTTAATCTATTAAATTTCTGGCATTGGAAAATGGAGAGTTCTGCGCTTTCTATATCATTACATACTTCACACATGTTAGTATCAACTTTGTTGATTTTGTGTAGATATCTTTTGTCATACGTATGTCTAGTGAAGAGGCGGTTTATGAGTTTAATATAAGATGCTGTCCACTTTATCTTCTTATACCATGGGTTTTCTGTTAGGACCAATTTTTAGACTTCTGCTGGACATCAAATTCATTATCCACATGACATATATTGCGGGTATGCCCTCATGTAACATGATTTTACTTAAATATTCTAGACAGACACAGTTATACGCATTGTTTATGTCCAGACTATGACTACTGCCTTCTTCTATTGTTTAAGTAGGGAGATTGTGGTTAGTAAATCATTTATGCACATGGTCGTGGATTTGTTTTTTCTGTATGCATAGGACTTTATAGGTGTTGTTTTCTTCCACATATTTAGAGATTCTGTTTTTGATCATAATGTTAACAGTTTTGGCAAGGACCGATATGAGCGATATTGGCCTATAGTTCTCAAGATTCGTAGGGTCTTTGCCATGTTTGAGTATGGGTGCTATGTTTATGATTCTCCACTGATGAGGAACTATGCAGTCTTTAAAGAGATCGTTATATATGTCAATGAGCTTTGCTTTTCCGTTTTCATTTAATGCCTTGAGCATGTCATATGTTATTTTGTCATGCCCTCCCGCTGTGGGCCTTTTGTGATCTAGGGCTTCGGTTAACTCTGACATGGAGAAGAGCATCTCTGCATAATTTTGTTCTTTTGGGAACCTGAGTTCCTGGAAATTGATTGTTCTTGAAACCTGGTCTTTTAACATTTGTAGAAAATGCTTGTGCATAGATGGGCAGAGTTTGGCTGGTTCTGGCTGTGGGCAGTTTTTCAGGGAGTTGAGGAATCTCCAGGCCGTTCTTGTGTTCGGTTGCTTGTCCAACATGCTGATTTTGTTAGTGTAGCTTTCTTTTTTGGCTTTGGCAATTGCATTTTTCCAGAGTTTCTTTAAAGCAATGGCTTTGTTGAAATTAATAATGGAGGGGAACTTGTTGGCCTTTGCTTGTGAAGCTATAAAAAGTCTGTATATTTTTGGTAGGTCATCAGACCACCAGTATTTGGGGATTTTATTATTTTGTATAGCATAGCATGATGTTTTGATTGCAGATGAGAATTTTTTGTTGAAGTCATCCAGATTATTGCTGATTGTGAGGTTGGCAATATCCTTCAAGAATTTTTTCTTGGCCAGGAAGGTAGTTGGCTTGACTGCTGTGTACTCTATGCTCACTATTATTGGGAAATGGTGGCTTCCCCCTAACTGGATTGGCCTGACCAGCCAGCTTTGAGTCGCATTTATTTTGGAGAAAGTTAGGTCAAGGACTGAACCTGAGCTGATGCCAATTTACGCTTGGAAGTTGTTAGCACCTGTATTCAGGCATCTGAAACCTGCATTGGTCATGCACTCTTCCAGAAATTTGCTACGTGCATTTGTTATGTTACCGCCGAAGGCCGTGCTCTTGGCATTGACGTCACCAGCTATTATTACATTTGTCATATGCTCTAAATGCGCAAGTAGCATGGACATCTCCTGTTTGAACTCCTCAAGGGGGATTCTCGGCTCGAAATAGACCGAAACTAAGGTTAGATTTATATTTAAATTGGTCGTTGTTGCCATGATGATATCACAATTTGTACTGTACTGTTTTCTAAATTTTATATTGTTTCTGAATGCTAAGGCTACTCCTCCATATCCATCTGCTCTGTGTTTTTTGATTAAATTGAAGTTAGCTAGTTTTCTGTTATTTCTGTTTTCGTCATGTGAAAAAATTTTAGAAAGGAAGGTTATATCAAAGTTTTCTGTGTTTATGAAAAATTCTAAATTGTCTCTATTTGCCTTCAAAGATTGAATGTTGTTTTGAAGTATTTTAAGGGGCATCTTGATTTTGGCTATTGTTGGATGTTAAGTTGGGTGGTTCATTTTGATATATAAGTGCGTTTTCGAACTTGTCTTTTAATAAATTTAATTTTGTACTGAGCTCATTGTTGTCATGGAAAAGTGGACAAAATAGTTGGAATAATTCATTACATATTGCTGTAGTTTCATCCTTCTTTGGGTAATTATAGGTCCAATCGCTTGTGTCATTGGTGTATGAGGGCAGAATGAAGTGTAGGCGTGGCTTGTTGACACACAGATTTGGGTATTTCATTGTTTATAAACCCTATTTTGACTGTTTCAGTTGATTCTAGTATGATCTCTTTTAATAGTTCATCCACTTCATTTTTCTTTCTCCTCATTATTCTTTCAACCGTTTTAATTTTGATTTTAGATTGGATATTATTGTAGATATCCTCCTCTGCCCAAATTGTTGGTACCCCACGGATTACCCCATATGTCTCAGTGTAGTTCCTCGGGATGAAAGCTTTGTACTTTAATTGGCAGAGACTTTCATTTTTAATTATCTGATTTGCGTTGGTGGCATTATCAAAATATAATTTGTAAAGGGTTGCTCCAAGCGCCGTTATGTTCTTCAGGCCTTTGAGTTTAAGGTGACGAATTTTTTCGAAGAGGAATAGACCATTCTTTATGTTTTTATTTTGGATGGCTTTATTTTGACTTGTGTCTACTAGTACACAAGCAGCTCCTAGATTCGGCATCATACAGGAAAATAGGTTTTTCAGTCTTAGGGTCATTTATGGTGGTACCTGAGTCGTCTGTGTTTGAAATCAATTCCTTATTCTTATTTTCATTTTCTTTGTTGCTGTTTGTTATTTGGGTTTTCAGGTATTTGATTGCTGAGTTTGGTAGCTTCTTCAGATAATTTTCCGCTGAGCCCATATTGACATTAGTATACTTGCATGTTTTTTTGATCGAATGAGCGCTGCTTATCGATGTGTCACTCATTGAGCTGTCACTAATTTCTGTAGAAGATATGTCTTTTTTTTTTATATTTCTCTATTAGTATTCTCTTTGGAATTTATTTTGGGAGGTTTTGTCTCATTGTTACACTTTGCCGTTTTATTTCCTTTATTATTCATTTTTGATGATATGGCTGTTTTCTTGAGCTCAGGGGCTTCTCCTTCCAGGCCAAAGATGTCAAAGTTATCAGCATATCTTTTTGTGGCTGACGCCAGTGAGGTGGCGCCCGCCATGTTCTCTCCTCTTCTCTTTAGCACTTCTTAGTCTAGGAATTACCACAGCTGCACGAATTGAGATTTTAGGCACTTTTGGGATTTTATATTTTGTATGTATTTTTAAAGCACACTAGCTGGCTAGACTTCCGTTCGGTCCGGTTGACGGCAAGCGAATGCCTTTGTTGTTTACATTCTCATAGTTGTAACAGCTGTTTTTTTTTTTTTGTTCACGAGTTAGAAGTTCCGATTGCTTGACGTTATCGATTTGTGGTTCGTTTTGCATAGTGTTGTGTAAGTCTGTTTTGCTACACGTGCGTCAAATTAACGGCGGTGACTTAGCGTCGAATTTTGGTACTTGTTATCGGAAAACTATCGGTCACTTTCAAATGCATTTATTAATGTTTTTAAGCACGAAACCAAATCAAGTTAAGTGCAGAATTGCAAAAAATAATTTATTCACTATCTACATTCAATTATTTTTGAATTTTTATTTATAATATGGGTAAACAAAGGGGTTGAAAAGTTAGGTTTTCACCATTCTTTAAGTATCTTAATTCACGGATAATGGACCCGAAAACCGCATATACACGATTGAAGTCTATAGTTTCACCTAACCAATCTTGAAAAAATTATAAAAATCGATCAGCACGTTTTTAAGATATTTGTACAACAGTGCAGAACCCTCGTTGCGAGCCCCATACAAAATGACCGTAAAAAATCACTCTTGCATTTGAATCCTAATAACTTTTTTCAGGGATAATGGCCCTCAATGCACGGTATACCATCTTGAAGATACATGTTTAAGGAAGCTTTACGCATTAATTCTAAACAAATCGATCAGCCAGTTTTTTAGAAAAATAGCAAAATGTAAACACACCTCATGTTGTTCATTCAAAAGGCCTATCGAGCAACTAGCTCCAACGGGAACCGAACCACTGCTCGGAATCAGTGTAGAACAATGCTATACAGTATTGAGCGGGAACAAATTAATTCAAAATACTTGTATATGGAAGAGAAATGCAGTAATATATGAAATAATTGTCATTTTACAATGAAAAATTATCTTTGGTAAAATAGACTGCTGCAAAAGATGACAACTATGCATTTAAGTATTTATACACGTAAAATAACGAAAAGGTGGCAATATTTCAACCTTTATTATTCTATTTCTCCGATAATGGCCCCAAATGCACAGTAGCTTAACATATAGATCGCGAATTATCAATCATTTTGCTTTTTACATCAAGAAAATCATCCAGCCAGTTTTTGAAAAAATTCGCATTTTTCTATTTTTCTTATTTTATCCCCTGTTATGCAAAAAAACTATCTGGCAACATTACATACTTAATATAATTTATGTTAGGGGCTGCCAACTTATGAAGAATGTAAACATAAAGATGTAGAATGTTTCAACATATATAAATTATATTTATTTAATATAAATATCATGATTACATAATATTCATCGTCATGTATACTTTTACTTATTTTCACAAGCTGGCATCTTTATATATTCTATATAATTATGTTTGCATTCTTCATAAGTTGGCAGCCCCTAACATAAATATATTAAGTATGTAATGTTGCCAGATAGTTTTTTTTGCATATTAGGGGATATAATAAGAAAAATAGTAAAATGCGAATTTCTCTAAAACTGGCTGGACGATTTTCTTGATGTTAAAAGCAAAATGATTGATAATTCGCGATCTATATGTTAAACTACCGTGCATTTGGGGCCATTATCGGAGAAATAGAATAATAAAGGTCGAAATATCGTCGCCATTTTGATAAATGAATATGTTAATAATGTAATGCTGCCAGCTAGTTTTTTTTGCACAACAGAGGGTATAATAAGCAAAATAGTAAAATGCGAATTTCTCTAAAACTGGCTGGACGATTTTCTTGATGTAAAAAGCAAAATGATTGATAATTCGCGATCTGTATGTTAAACTACCGTGCATCTGGGGCCATTATCGGAGAAATAGAATAATATAGGTTGAAATATTGCCATCTTTTCGTTATTATACGTGCATAAATACTTAAATGCATAGGTGTTGTCTTTTGCAGCACTCTATTTTACCAAAGATAATGTTTTATTTTAAAATGACAATTATTTTATATTATACTGCACATCTCTTTCATATACAAGTATTTTGAATTAATTTGTTCCCGCTCAATACTTTATTACATTGTTCAACACTGATTCCGAGCAGTGGTTCGGTTCCCGTTGGAGCTAGTAGCTCGATAGGCATTTTGAATGAACAACATGAGGTGTGCTTACATTTTGCCATTTTTCTAAAAAAAACTGGCTGATCGATTTGTTTAGAATTAATGCGTAAAGCTTCCTTAAACATGTATCTTCAAGATGGTATACCGTGCATTGAGGGCCATTATCTCTGAGAAAAGTTATTAGGGTTCAAGTGCAAGGGTGATTTTTTACGGTCATTTTGTATGGGGCTAGCAACGAGGGTGCTGCACTGTAGTACAAATATCTTAAAAACGTGCTGATCGATTTTTATAATTTTTTCACGATTGGATAGGTGAAACTATAGACTTCAATCGTGTATATGCGGTTTTCGGGGCCATTATCCCTGAATTAAGATATTTAAAGAATGGCGAAAACCTAACTTTTCAACCCCTTTGTTTGTTACGGAACTGCTTGTTTCTCAGTGGGCCGCGCCGGCTGGCTCATCGGATTCTCTGGGTGTGGTCCCATCCCTGGCCCGCAGTCCGCACAATCGATAACAACAAAGCTACACGTCTGTAGCAAAACAGACTCACACAACACTACTCAAAATGAACCGCATAATCGATAACAAATATTCGGAACTACTAACTCATGAACAAAATACACAGCTGTAACAACTATGAAAATGTAAACAACAAAGGTAAGACACTCAATATAAATTAACAAAAAACACTATTTATCCACCTTACTCTTCCAGATCGGGCCCCGGTTCCGGACCCAGCGTACCCGCCCTACCATGAGACGATCACCTCCACTCGTCTCCCTCATTTTGGCCACTAAATGGCCTATATTAGCCCGTGTCGGCCATAATGCCTACTCTCCCCAACAATATTATTTTAGCCGGACATGATTTCTTTCAATAGGTGCGTATAATTGGTTGCGTTTTCTTAAAATGTATAACAATTATAATCATTGCTTATGGCATTTATCTTGCAGCTGTTTAGGATCTCATGCAAGCGGATAATTCATTAACTTCACAGGTGCGTATAATGGTTTGTGTACTCTTATAATTATTGGCATTAATATTTCTTTTATTTCTGTCCAATTTGCACGAGGTCTCTATTCAGGTAAATTCGTATTCATGCACGTGAACATTTCTTCTCCAAGTGCGTATTACTGTTGCATCTATTTATACTAATTGACAAAGTGCATTAATTCCTAAATTTTTCTCTTATCTTATAGAATTAATTTTTTTATTTTTTTTACAACACTGAATGGAACAGGCGACGAAATACTACAAGGATATTGCTAGTCGCCGCAAAAGAAACGCGCAAGGAGGCACTTTAGAGGCAATCGTTGCGCCGATTTAGGAACAATGGCCCACACAATTACTTAAAACTGGGTATGCCACGTATTATGTATTGTATGTATTAAATCGCTCAATTCTACCTTACCCTACCTAAAGAGCTCTCTGAGGGTGGTAAGGGGCGATATAAATGCGTAAATTCAAATTAGGTAAGTATGTGAGCATAGTTCGCGCAAGTGTTAATTTTAGATTTTTATATTTTACAGGCGCAGATGCATCACCTTTGGAGTTTCCCTCACCGTTCGCACTCTAAAGTGAAGCTCGGCGTAAGTGCCTATGTATGTATAAATATATTTTATAAATACAAATTAACTAAATTTAACGATAATAAAAAAATCTACTCCTTTTCAGGGAGTGCAATTAGGAGTCTTCTTCTGACTCTGCCAGGGGCTCGAACGAGGATGGGCAAAGATATGGAACGGACTCACTCGGTGGATGTGGGCGGGGTCTCGCCTGTGGCCGCTTCTTCGTCGTTGGAGCCCGGTCGTTGGTGGCTCGTCCCGTCGCCTTTAGGTTTGCGCCGACGCTTGCTGGCGGCGTCGCGGGTATGGCTGGTTTGCGCCGCTGAACTGAATCCAGGCCTTTGAATGTTTCGTGGGCCTCTCTGGTGCGCGAGCTGGTCTCCTTGGTGCCGGAGCCGTTAATTTTTGGCTTATTTGGTTCGTCTCTCGTCGCACTTAAGTTTTAAGTCTCTTTTAATTTTTTTTTATATTTTTTTTTTTGTGACTCGAGCGGTTTGCTTTCGATATATTTATTAAATGGCAAAAAGGAACACAAAAACAAAACTTTTATTTGTCTGTTAAGTCATTTGTATTATGCGCCGGCTTAATTTGCAGAAGGAAAAAATTCGAGTCTTTTGAGCAGAAATGCAATGTACAACTTTTATGCTCACTTCGAGCTGGCACGCCCGCCGTTAACCGCTGAACAAATCGAACTCCCCGACATTTTGGGCCGCCACACCATCGGTGCCGAATTTCGGCACACGCATACATTTGCGAGGCGGGCACCGTTGCTGCTCATCTGCACAGCTGCATTTTTTTGGGTCAACGGCCCAAATGAAGGCCAAGGGCATATCCAAGGGCATGCGATCCACTCTCCTCATATTCTCTTTAAGAGCGAACCGGGCGGCCAATAGCAATCGTCGCTTTTGGCGCCGTGGATCGCATGTCTGGCGTTGCCACCCTTCAAAAATTTGGGCTCCGCCGTGGGCCCAGCTTCACCCCGCATACTCCGACCATATGACAAAAGATATCGGCGTGGCCGATAATATCGCACGCAACCAACTGAGTTACCCTCGTGCTGCCGATAACGTCAAATGCAACATCACCACGCAGATTATTGTAACGACATGAAGGACAGTTACAAGGAATCTGCGTGCGCATTTCATGGATTGACCCAGCCGGCTAATAACGATGCCCAACGTAGGCCACACCCACGACAAGTAATCTATATTTTTGCCGCTGACCCAAAAAAAAAGGGGGGACTGGCGCTGCCGCCGCCGTTGCCTGGCAGGGAGGTGAGCAAATTACGATTATGTTCGTATATCTTTTGCGTGGAAGACGCCTAGCACGCGTCCCTGGAGATCTTCCAACTCGTAGGCGTTGGTTCCCACGGCTCGGACGACGCGGCTCTTCAAGAATTTCCGGGCGAACTTGGCATTGAAGGCTTTGCCGAAGCTGCTTAGTGCGAAGTTGCGCCTCCACACTTCCTGTCCCGGTTCCAGATGGAGCTGTCGCGCGCGGTGGTCGTACCGTTGGCGACTTCGCTCGTATGCGGTGTGCAGGTGGTCCTTGACTTGGCTTCGGATTACAGCCAGTCTGTCCTTTGCGTCAAGGTCAGAAATACCGTGGTCGGCCAATGATCTCAGCTTCCTGGCCAGTTTGTAACTGGAACCATTCAGGTACATCTGCTGTCCAAAGACCGCGAAGAACGGAGTGACTCCCGTAGCGCTGTGGACCGCATTCCGGATCGCCACTTCCACCTCTGGTAGGTACGCGTCCCATTCCCGATGATCCTGACCCAGGTAGGTTCTGATTGCCGACAGCACTGTGCGGTTCACGCGTTCGGCGGCGTTGCTCTGAGGCGAATACACTGGTGTGCGCAGGTGAGTAATGCCAAACGCCTGGACCATCGCATCGAACGACTTTGACACGAATTGTCGTCCATTATCCGAATGGATCACTTCCGGCACGCCAAATTTGAAGAACACCTCATGCACTAGGAAGTTCACGACATCCGCCGCGGTGGCTTCCCTCATGGCCTTCAGGAAGGTAAACTTCGAGAAGTGGTCTACGACGACGAATATCCACGCATGCCCTCGTTTCGACCGTGGAGAAGTCAAGAAGTCGATATATAGCTTCTGGAAGGGGCGGTCGGTGCGCACTTCTTCCCCAATTCCGACCTGCATTCGGTAGTTCTGTGCCTTGGTCTCCTTGCATGTATCGCATTTCCGAACATAGTCCCTGACTTGTATGGCCATGTTGGGCCAATAATATCGCCTGCGCAGCGCGTGCAGCGTTTTCCTCATGCCTCCATGAGCTGACGTCTCGTCCGCGTGTGCTTGTTGAGTTTGGCCGAGAAGAATGCGATCGGCCTTTCCTGTTGTTCGTCGTCTAGCTGGAACAACACGGCTCCTACTCCGTAGTGAGATGCGTCGCATTGGATGAAGAATGGTCTTCGAAAATCCGCGTGAACTAACACCGGGGCTGTGGTGAGGGCTAACTTCAAGCTTTCTATGGCTTCTATGGCCTCGTCGCTCAACACAAATCTACCCGTTCTCTTCTTAAGGGCATCAGTCAATGGTACCGATATCTCGGCGAAGTTCTTTATGAATCGGCGATACCACCCCGCCGTACCTAAGAAGCTTCGTAGTTCTTTGACCGTCCTCGGATTCGGGACGTTCCGGATCGCTTCTACTTTTCCCGGATCCATGCGCAGCGTCCCGCCGCCTATGATGAAACCCAGGTAGTTTAGGTTGCGGAAGCAGAATTTTGACTTCGCCATGCCTATGGTGAGGTTCGCGTTCCTCAGACACTCGGCCACCAATTCCAAGTATTTTAAGTGCGTTGGAAAATCTGCCGATATTATCAGCAAGTCGTCTAGGTATACGAATACGTTGGACCTCAGATTCGCCGGGATTACCTTGTCCATGAGCCTGCAAAGTTGTTGAGCGGCGTTGCAGAGCCCGAATGGCATGTGGCGGAACTGGTACAGCGGCCTCCCTGGTACAGTAAACGCCGTATACGCCCTGCTCTTCTCCTCCATCTCGATTTGCCAGAACGCGAACTTAAGGTCGACGCTAGAGATAAAATGAGTCTCGTCGATTCGCGATAGGATGCCCTCGATGCATGGAAGCGGGTAAGCGTCTTTTACCGTCACACTGTTTAATTTCCTGGCGTCTAAGCAAAACCTGTTCTTCCCAGGCCTCATCACCACCGTCGTCCGGTTGCTCCAGGGGCTGTCACTCTCCTCGATGATGCCCAACTTTAGCATTTTATCCACCTCGGCCCACACGATCTCCTGTTTGGCCGGGGACAGCGGATAATGTCTGTCTTTCACGGGTTCTGCTCCCTCGATCAGCTGAATTCGGTGCTGCAGCAGGTGAGTTTTCCCTAGGCCATCCTTCTCAAATTGGAGAAATCTGCGCTTCACGCTTTCCAACTGACTCCTCTGATCGTTGTCCAGGTCCCTCATTTCCGGATCCGTCACGCAGTCGTCGTCGTCCCGGTAATAAGCCACCTCTGGGTTCGCTACTGTTACCTCAGATGCCTCTGGTGGTGTTTCGGACTTTCTGGCCGGACCGAGCAGCTCTGGTGCGATCTCGAAGGCTCGCCAGAAGTCGATTCCCAGGTATAGTTCCTGTCGCAGGTCCGGGCACATGTAAAATACGATATCTTCCTTTCTATTCCCGTATTTCACAGGCAGAACAACGCGACCCAAAATTGGGCGATTGGCACCCGCCGCTGTCCTCACCATCGATTCGTATGGCCGCGCTTCCCATCCCAGTTTCTCCACTAACTCCCGGCATCCTTGTCCCAACAGACTGACTGAGGCCCCCGTGTCCAGCAACCCTTTCATCTTGGCCCCAGCGACCTCCACTTCGGCGAATACTCGTGGGTCTATGCTATCCTCCCGTCTCACCGCTTCGACGACCTGGCGCCTGGTAATCCTGCGTCTGCGGAAGCGCGCACGTGCCTTCACCATTCTCCGGGTGGCTAGCGTCATCCCCTCCAGCTGTCGCTCACCAAAAATTCTATTTCGGGCCGACATGTATGCCCGAACACGTTCTTCGTATGGTAAGCCCCTAAGTGTTCCTCCTTTGCTTATACTATTATTATAATTAGCCTTATCCTGATCCTTATTCCAAATCTCCGTCTCCATTCCAATGATTATTGGCTCTGGTAGGTGCCCCTCTCCTGCTTCCCCGCGGTCGCCGTCCCGGAACGCGTCTGTCCCGCCATCACCGCGCTCCCTCTGGGGTTTCCCGGACAGTTTTCACACTGCGAGCAGAAAGTGTCCGGCTTTCCACACCTATAGCAGAATATTTTCCGCTCCTTGGACAGGCAGTCTCTAAAGACGTGATCGAACTGTCTGCAGTTCCAGCATACAATTCGGGATGAGTTTCTGCTTCGCACGAATGCCTCCTCCAGTTCTCCCGGTGGCGTTTCTGTAAGATGCGGTGGTACTTCAACCTCGTGGACTACGGGCCTCGTTCCTTGTGGACAACGCGACGGCTGAAGGTACCCAGTCCGGCTTCTGCGACCCATGTGCCTCTCCACTTCTAGGCACTCTTGGCGCAGCTCATCCACGGTGAGTACGTCCATGGCATAGATATATTTCGCCAGGCTTTCTTTTAAACCACGCTTTATAATCCTCACCAGCTCTCGGTCTCTCAGCGGCTTCTGGAATCGCGCGGCGAGTTGACGCATGTGGTGGATATAATCATCCACCCCTTCGCTGGCCTGTTGCTCTCGTTGTAGAAGCTCCTGCATTACATCGTGTTCCGTCTGGTAGCCCCGGAACCTGTCCAAGAGGGCATGCCGCAGTTGCATCCAGCTGTCGACCCTAGAATGCCGCACGTGCATCCAATACCACTCGCGAGCGCGGCCGGTCAGGAGCAGGTGGAAACCGCGCAGGACCTCCTTCCACGGGCATTGATACTGCCTCTGCAGGAACTCTAGGCGGAACACGAAGTCCTCGACCGAATTCATCGCGTCCTCGCCGTCAAACTTGACGTTCCACCGCTCGAGCTTCATGTACGCAGTTTCTCGCACGTTGGCGTACGCCTCCTCCGGTTGAAAATCATCCGCTCTCCGGTCCTCTACTCGGAAATGGCGGTTATTCGGGTTACGCCAGTTCCTCGACTGAGCATCTGCCACGTAAACTGGGCTGCTGGACGAATACTCCGCCCCTCGTGCGCCTTGTCTACGTGGCTTCGGTGGCACCGGTGGTGGAAATGCCTCGCGCTGGAACACTTCCCGTTCTTTCGGGATGGCGCCTGTTCGCGGTCCCGGCTCGACATGTCTGGGCGGCTTCGGCGCAGTGTTAGTCTCGGCGGTTTGGCTCCCTGGCGGCCTAAGCACATCAATGATGCCCTTCATCATTTCCATGAAGCCAGCTCGCATCTCCTCGCGGATGGACTCGCTGATGCCAGATGGCAGAGCATGCAGATATGTTTGGTGGGCCTGAGCGATCGCCGCGTTTGCCGCCGATTTGAGCACTGAGTCTTTCGGGGCTTTTGGGAACTCCAGGTTCCGTGGAGGTCTATCCTGTTGCGCCAATTCTTTCTCCAAGTCTACCAGGTGACCCTCTTCCGGGATCTGTCTCTCTGGAAATCCCCGGAAATTCATTGGCGTTCGCACCAGCCCTCCAGCTGGGCGCGGCGGTGGCAGAGCCGACGCCCCATCAGCGTCAGAAGCCCAATCAGACACCTGTTCCTCAGCCATACTTATCCCTTCTGAGAACAGTACCCCTCTCTTCTACAAGGCTTACAACCCTTATAAAAACTTTACTAATATTCCTAATAAATTAATAAATAAATAAACACCCACTAACAAATCTTACTAATAAAGAATAATAAATTAATACACATCGACCACAAAAACACTCACAAAATTAAATTTTTTTTCTTTCTAATTAATTTCAAATACTTGGGGGAGAGAAGACAAATCCTAACACAGGCTAAATAATCTACGCATAATCTGGACAGTGGACAACACTTTAGCATTCGTCCCATGCTCAGTTCGTCAGTTTGACTGACGAACGGCATTCAAGGAACGCTACCTTGAAGGCTATTTGGTTTCTGTCGCACTTCTGTGCACCCTTAGGGTATGCTGTGTGACAGGTGCGGCGCAGGATCGGCTCTATATCGTCCTGGGTCACCTGCCTCCGAAGCTCATTTAACTACGGCCAGCCCACACCAAACGTTAACACAGAGTGGGACAAAACAAATAGAAAACATTAAACAAACTCTAGTCAGACCTACCCTAATATCACATTTTGTCACAGGTTATTTTGTCATGGCGGCTACCACCAGGCTACGATGGACGGTCGCGAACATTCACCAACTAGCAAACGTGACTTACCGTCATCAACCGCGACAAGAAAACTCCCCATGTCAATGGACACCATGGCAAGATCCGTCTCCGTCGCTCTTCTGGCCCTTCTTGGGATATGCTGTGTGACAGATGCGGCGCAGGCTCGGCTCTATAACGTCCTGGGTCACCTGTCTCCGAAGCTCGTATAACTACGGCCAGCATACATCCAACATTGACACAAAATGAGACAAAAACTACTAATTGAATAAATAACATCTGACTAAACTACCCTAATATCACATTTTTTTAATCATGAGATGCCTTTGTCGTTGCGGCTACCACCAGGCGAACGATGGATAGTCGCAAATGTTTCGCCAACATGCGAACGGCCAACAACCACTACAAAAAAAACCCCTCATGCTTATGGATGGATATTCAGATAACCTCTACTTCCGTCGTGCTTCTCGGATTCCACTACACGCTGCGCGATTATGAGCTACCTACTCGTGCCACATAAGACTTCAGCGGTGTGGGTCCTGAAGCCAAGGGAGTCCTTTCCTCTGTACCTTCATTTTTATCGTATTTATTTTTCTTTGATTACACACCGACTTCAAAGAAGCCGAGTGCTTCTTCAAGTTGGGCGCCATATTGTTACGGAACTGTTTTTTCTCAGTGGGCCGTGCCGGCTGGCTCATCGGATTCTCTGGGTGTGGTCCCATCCCTGGCCCGCAGTCCGCACAATCGATAACAACAAAGCTACACGTCTGTAGCAAAACAGACTCACACAACACTACTCAAAATGAACCGCATAATCGATAACAAATATTCGGAACTACTAACTCATGAACAAAATACACAGCTGTAACAACTACGAAAATGTAAACAACAAAGGTAAGACACTCAATATAAATTAACAAAAAACACTATTTATCCACCTTACTCTTCCAGATCGGGCCCCGGTTCCGGACCCAGCGTACCCGCCCTACCATGAGACGATCACCTCCACTCGTCTCCCTCATTTTGGCCACTAAATGGCCTATATTAGCCCGTGTCGGCCATAATGCCTACTCTCCCCAACAATATTATTTTAGCCGTTCATGATTTCTTTCAATAGGTGCGTATAATTGGTTGCGTTTTCTTAAAATGTATAACAATTATAATCATTGCTTATGGCATTTATCTTGCAGCTGTTTAGGATCTCATGCAAGCGGATAATTCATTAACTTCACAGGTGCGTATAATGGTTTGTGTACTCTTATAATTATTGGCATTAATATTTCTTTTATTTCTGTCCAATTTGCACGAGGTCTCTATTCAGGTAAATTCGTATTCATGCACGTGAACATTTCTTCTCCAAGTGCGTATTACTGTTGCATCTATTTATACTAATTGACAAAGTGCATTAATTCCTAAATTTTTCTCTTATCTTATAGAATTAATTTTTTTATTTTTTATACAACACTGAATGGAACAGGCGACGAAATACTACAAGGATATTGCTAGTCGCCGCAAAAGAAACGCGCAAGGAGGCACTTTAGAGGCAATCATTGCGCCGATTTAGGAACAATGGCCCACACAATTACTTAAAACTGGGTATGCCACGTATTATGTATTGTATGTATTAAATCGCTTAATTCTACCTTACCCTACCTAAAGAGCTCTCTGGGGGTGGTAAGGGGCGATATAAATGCGTAAATTCAAATTAGGTAAGTATGTGAGCATAGTTCGCGCAAGTGTTAATTTTAGATTTTTATATTTTACAGGCGCAGATGCATCACCTTTGGAGTTTCCCTCACCGTTCGCACTCTAAAGTGAAGCTCGGCGTAAGTGCCTATGTATGTATAAATATATTTTATAAATACAAATTAACTAAATTTAACGATAATAAAAAAATCTACTCCTTTTCAGGGAGTGCAATTAGGAGTCTTCTTCTGACTCTGCCAGGGGCTCGAACGAGGATGGGCAAAGATATGGAACGGACTCACTCGGTGGATGTGGGCGGGGTCTCGCCTGTGGCCGCTTCTTCGTCGTTGGAGCCCGGTCGTTGGTGGCTCGTCCCGTCGCCTTTAGGTTTGCGCCGACGCTTGTTGGCGGCGTCGCGGGTATGGCTGGTTTGCGCCGCTGAACTGAATCCTGGCCTTTGAATGTTTCGTGGGCCTCTCTGGTGCGCGAGCTGGTCTCCTTGGTGCCGGAGCCGTTAATTTTTGGCTTATTTGGTTCGTCTCTCGTCGCACTTAAGTTTTAAGTCTCTTTTAATTTTTTTTTATATTTTTTTTTTTGTGACTCGAGCGGTTTGCTTTCGATATATTTATTAAATGGCAAAAAGGAACACAAAAACAAAACTTTTATTTGTCTGTTAAGTCATTTGTATTATGCGCCGGCTTAATTTGCAGAAGGAAAAAATTCGAGTCTTTTGAGCAGAAATGCAATGTACAACTTTTATGCTCACTTCGAGCTGGCACGCCCGCCGTTAACCGCTGAACAAATCGAACTCCCCGACATTTTGGGCCGCCACACCATCGGTGCCGAATTTCGGCACACGCATACATTTGCGAGGCGGGCACCGTTGCTGCTCATCTGCACAGCTGCATTTTTTTGGGTCAACGGCCCAAATGAAGGCCAAGGGCATATCCAAGGGCATGCGATCCACTCTCCTCATATTCTCTTTAAGAGCGAACCGGGCGGCCAATAGCAATCGTCGCTTTTGGCGCCGTGGATCGCATGTCTGGCGTTGCCACCCTTCAAAAATTTGGGCTCCGCCGTGGGCCCAGCTTCACCCCGCATACTCCGACCATATGACAAAAGATATCGGCGTGGTCGATAATATCGCACGCAACCAACTGAGTAACCCTCGGTTCTGCCGATAACGTCAAATGCAACATGTTTACCCTTATTATAAATTAAAATTTAAAAATAAATGAATGTAGATAGTAAATAATTTAATTTTTTGCAATTCTGCATTTAAATTTATTTGGTTTCGTGCTTAAAAACATAAATAAATGTTGCATTTGATGTTATCGGCAGCACCGAGGGTTACTCAGTTGGTTGCGTGCGATATTATCGGCCACGCCGATATCTTTTTGTCATATGGTCGGAGTATGCGGGGTGAAGCTGGGCCCACGGCGGAGCCCAAATTTTTGAAGGGTGGCAACGCCAGACATGCGATCCACGGCGCCAAAAGCGACGATTGCTATTGGCCGCCCGGTTCGCTCTTAAAGAGAATATGAGGAGAGTGGATCGCATGCCCTTGGATATGCCCTTGGCCTTCATTTGGGCCGTTGACCCAAAAAAATGCAGCTGTGCTGATGAGCAGCAACGGTGCCCGCCTCGCAAATGTATGCGTGTGCCGAAATTCGGCACCGATGGTGTGGCTGCCCAAAATGTAGAGGAGTTCGATTTGTTCAGCGGTTAACGGCGGGCGTGCCAGCTCGAAGTGAGCATAAAAGTTGTACATTGCTCAAAAGACTCGAATTTCTTCCTTCTGAAAATTAAGCCGGCACGTAATACAAAAGACTTAACGGACAAATAAAAGTTTTGGTTTTGTGTTAATAAATATATCTAAATCAAACCGCTCGAGTCACAAAAAAATATAATAAAAAAATTAAAAGAGACTTAAAACTTAAGTGCGACGAGAGACGAACCAAATAAGCCAAAAATTAACGGCTCCGGCACCAAGGAGACCAGCTCGCGCACCAGAGAGGCCCACGAAATATTCAAAGGCCAGGATTCAGTGCAGCGGAGCAAACCAGCCATATCCACGACGCCGCCAGCAAGCGTCGGCGCAAACCTGAAGGCGACGAGACGAGCCACCAACGACCGGGCTCCAACAACGAAGAAGCGGCCACAGGCGAGACCCCGCCCACATCCACCGAGTGAGTCCGTTCCATATCTTTGCCCATCCTCGTTCGAGCCCCTGGCAGAGTCAGAAGAAGACTCCTAATTGCACTCCCTGAAAAGGAGTAGATTTTTTTTTTATCGTTAAATTTAGTTAATTTGTATTTATAAAATATATTTATACATACATAGGCACTCACGCCGAGCTTCACTTTAGAGTGCGAACGGTGAGGGAAACTCCAAAGGTGATGCATCTGCGCCTGTAAAATATAAAAATCTAAAATTAACACTTGCGCGAACTATGCTCACAGACTTACCTAATTTGAATTTACGCATTTATATGGCCCTTTACCACCCCCAGAGAGCTCTTTAGGTAGGGTAAGGTAGAATTAAGCGATTTAATACATACGATACATAATACGTGACATACCCAGTTTTAAGTAATTGTGTGGGCCATTGTTCCTAAATCGGCGCAACGATTGCCTCTAAAGTGCCTCCGTGCGCGTTTCTTTTGCGGCGACTAGCAATATCCTTGTAGTATTTCGTCGCCTGTTCCATTCAGTGTTGTAAAAAAAATAAAAAAAAAATTAATTCTATAAGATAAGAGAAAAATTTAGGAATTAATGCGCTTTGTCAATTAGTATAAATATATGCAACAGTAATACGCACCTGTGAAGTTAATGAATTATCCGCTTGCATGAGATCCTAAACAGCTGCAAGATAAATGCCATAAGCAATGATTATGATTGTTATACATTTTAAGAAAACGCGACCAATTATACGCACCTATTGAAAGAAATCATGTCCGGCTAAAATAATATTGTTGGGGAGAGTGGGCATTATGGCCGACACGGGCTAATATAGGCCATTTAGTGGCCAAAATGAGGGAGACGAGTGGAGGTGATCGTCTCATGGTAGGGCGGGTACGCTGGGTCCGGAACCGGGGCCCGATCTGGAAGAGTAAGGTGGATAAATAGTGTTTTTTTGTTAATTTATATTGAGTGTCTTACCTTTGTTGTTTACATTTTCATAGTTGTTACAGCTGTGTATTTTGTTCATGAGTTAGTAGTTCCGAATATTTGTTATCGAATTTGCGGTTCATTTTGAGTAGTGTTGTGTGAGTCTGTTTTGTTACAGACGTGTAGTTTTGTTGTTATCGATTGTGCGGACTGCGGGCCAGGGATGGGACCACACCCAGAGAATCCGATGAGCCAGCCGGCGCGGCCCACTGAGAAACAAGCAGTTCCGTAACAATATGGCGCCCAACTTGAAGAAGCACTCGGCTTCTTTGAAGTCGGTGTGTAATCAAAGAAAAATAAATACGATAAAAATGAAGGTACAGAGGAAAGGACTCCCTTGGCTTCAGGACCCACACCGCTGAAGTCTTATGTGGCACGAATAGGTAGCTCATAATCGCGCAGCGTGTAGTGGAATCCGAGAAGCACGACGGAAGTAGAGGTTATCTGAATATCCATCCATAAGCATGAGGGGTTTTTTTTGTAGTGGTTGATGGCCGTTCGCATGTTGGCGAAACATTTGCGACTATCCATCGTTCGCCTGGTGGTAGCCGCAACGACAAAGGCATCTCATGATTAAAAAAATGTGATATTAGGGTAGTTTAGTCAGATGTTATTTATTCAATTAGCAGTTTTTGTCTCATTTTGTGTCAATGTTGGATGTATGCTGGCCGTAGTTATACGAGCTTCGGAGACAGGTGACCCAGGACGATATAGAGCCGAGCCTGCGCCGCATCTGTCACACAGCATATCCCAAAAATGGCCAGAAGAGCGACGGAGACGGATCTTGCCATGGTGTCCATTGATATGGGGAGTTTTCTTGTCGCGGTTGATGACGGTAAGTCACGTTTGCTAGTTGGTGAACGTTCGCGACCGTCCATCGTAGCCTGGTGGTAGCCGCCATGACAAAATAACCTGTGACAAAATGTGATATTAGGGTAGGTCTGACTAGAGTTTGTTTAATGTTTTCTATTTGTTTTGTCCCACTCTGTGTTAACGTTTGGTGTGTGCTGGCCGTAGTTAAATGAGCTTCGGAGGCAGGTGACCCAGGACGATATAGAGCCGATCCTGCGCCGCACCTGTCACACAGCATACCCTAAGGGTGCACAGAAGTGCGACAGAAACCAAATAGCCTTCAAGGTAGCGTTCCTTGCATGCCGTTCGTCAGTCAAACTGACGAACTGAGCATGGGACGAATGCTAAAGTGTTGTCCACTGTCCAGATTATGCGTAGATTATTTAGCCTGTGTTAGGATTTGTCTTCTCTCCCCCAAGTATTTGAAATTAATTAGAAAGAAAAAAAATTTAATTTTGTGAGTGTTTTTGTGGTCGATGTGTATTAATTTATTATTCTTTATTAGTAAGATTTGTTAGTGGGTGTTTATTTATTTATTAATTTATAAGGAATATTAGTAAAGTTTTTATAAGGGTTGTAAGCCTTGTAGAAGAGAGGGGTACTGTTCTCAGAAGGGATAAGTATGGCTGAGGAACAGGTGTCTGATTGGGCTTCTGACGCTGATGGGGCGTCGGCTCTGCCACCGCCGCGCCCAGCTGGAGGGCTGGTGCGAACGCCAGTGAATTTCCGGGGATTTCCAGAGAGACAGATCCCGGAAGAGGGTCACCTGGTAGACTTGGAGAAAGAATTGGCGCAACAGGATAGACCTCCACGGAACCTGGAGTTCCCAAAAGCCCCGAAAGACTCAGTGCTCAAATCGGCGGCAAACGCGGCGATCGCTCAGGCCCACCAAACATATCTGCATGCTCTGCCATCTGGCATCAGCGAGTCCATCCGCGAGGAGATGCGAGCTGGCTTCATGGAAATGATGAAGGGCATCATTGATGTGCTTAGGCCGCCAGGGAGCCAAACCGCCGAGACTAACACTGCGCCGAAGCCGCCCAGACATGTCGAGCCGGGACCGCGAACAGGCGCCATCCCGAAAGAACGGGAAGTGTTCCAGCGCGAGGCATTTCCACCACCGGTGCCACCGAAGCCACGTAGACAAGGCGCACGAGGGGCGGAGTATTCGTCCAGCAGCCCAGTTTACGTGGCAGATGCTCAGTCGAGGAACTGGCGTAACCCGAATAACCGCCATTTCCGAGTAGAGGACCGGAGAGCGGATGATTTTCAACCGGAGGAGGCGTACGCCAACGTGCGAGAAACTGCGTACATGAAGCTCGAGCGGTGGAACGTCAAGTTTGACGGCGAGGACGCGATGAATTCGGTCGAGGACTTCGTGTTCCGCCTAGAGTTCCTGCAGAGGCAGTATCAATGCCCGTGGAAGGAGGTCCTGCGCGGTTTCCACCTGCTCCTGACCGGCCGCGCCCGCGAGTGGTATTGGATGCACGTGCGGCATTCTAGGGTCGACAGCTGGATGCAACTGCGGCATGCCCTCTTGGACAGGTTCCGGGGCTACCAGACGGAACACGATGTAATGCAGGAGCTTCTACAACGAGAGCAACAGGCCAGCGAAGGGGTGGATGATTATATCCACCACATGCGTCAACTCGCCGCGCGATTCCAGAAGCCGCTGAGAGACCGAGAGCTGGTGAGGATTATAAAGCGTGGTTTAAAAGAAAGTCTGGCGAAATATATCTATGCCATGGACGTACTCACCGTGGATGAGCTGCGCCAAGAGTGCCTAGAAGTGGAGAGGCACATGGGTCGCAGAAGCCGGACTGGGTACCTTCAGCCGTCGCGTTGTCCACAAGGAACGAGGCCCGTAGTCCACGAGGTTGAAGTACCACCGCATCTTACAGAAACGCCACCGGGAGAACTGGAGGAGGCATTCGTGCGAAGCAGAAACTCATCCCGAATTGTATGCTGGAACTGCGGTCGGTTCGATCACGTCTTTAGAGACTGCCTGTCCAAGGAGCGGAAAATATTCTGCTATAGGTGTGGAAAGCCGGACACTTTCTGCTCGCAGTGTGAAAACTGTCCGGGAAACCCCAGAGGGAGCGCGCTGATGGCGGGACAGACGCGTTCCGGGACGGCGACCGCGGGAAAGCAGGAGAGGGGCACCTACCAGAGCCAATAATCATTGGAAAGGAGACGGAGATTTGGAATAAGGATCAGGACAAGGCTAATTATAATAATAGTATAAGCAAAGGAGGAACACTTAGGGGCTTACCATACGAAGAACGTGTTCGGGCATACATGTCGGCCCGAAATAGAATTTTTGGTGAGCGACAGCTGGAGGGGATGGCGCTAGCCACCCGGAGAATGGTGAAGGCACGTGCGCGCTTCCGCACACGCAGGATTACCAGGCGCCAGGTCGTCGAAGCGGTGAGACGGGAGGAGAGTATAGACCCACGAGTATTCGCCGAAGTGGAGGTCGCTGGGGCCAAGATGAAAGGGTTGCTGGACACGGGGGCCTAAGTCAGTCTGTTGGGACAAGGATGCCGGGAGTTAGTGGAGAAACTGGGATGGGAAGCGCGGCCATACGAATCGATGGTGAGGACAGCGGCGGGTGCCAATCGCCCAATTTTAGGTCGCGTTGTTCTGCCTGTGAAATACGGGAATAGAAAGGAAGATATCGTATTTTACATGTGCCCGGACCTGCGACAGGAACTATACCTGGGAATCGACTTCTGGCGAGCCTTCGAGATCGCACCAGAGTTGCTCGGTCCGGCCAGAAAGTCCGAAACACCACCAGAGGCATCTGAGGTAACGGTAGCAAACCCAGAGGTGGCTTATTACCGGGACGACGACGACTGCGTGACGGATCCGGAAATGTGGGACCTGGACGACGATCAGAGGAGTCAGTTGGAAAGCGTGAAACGCAGATTCCTCCAATTTGAGAAGGATGGCCTAGGGAAAACTCACCTGCTGCAGCACCGAATTCAGCTGATCGAGGGAGCAGAACCCGTGAAAGACAGACATTATCCGCTGTCCCCGGCCAAACAGGAGATCGTGTGGGCCGAGGTGGATAAAATGCTAAAGTTGGGCATCATCGAGGAGAGTGACAGCCCCTGGAGCAACCGGACGACGGTGGTGATGAGGCCTGGGAAGAACAGGTTTTGCTTAGACGCCAGGAAATTAAACAGTGTGACGGTAAAAGACGCTTACCCGCTTCCATGCATCGAGGGCATCCTATCGCGAATCGACGAGACTCATTTTATCTCTAGCGTCGACCTTAAGTTCGCGTTCTGGCAAATAGAGATGGAGGAGAAGAGCAGGGCGTATACGGCGTTTACTGTACCAGGGAGGCCGCTGTACCAGTTCCGCCACATGCCATTCGGGCTCTGCAACGCCGCTCAACAACTTTGCAGGCTCATGGACAAGGTAATCCCGGCGAATTTGAGGTCCAACGTATTCGTATACCTAGACGACTTGCTGATAATATCGGCAGATTTTCCAACGCACTTAAAATACTTGGAATTGGTGGCCGAGTGTCTGCGGAACGCGAACCTCACCATAGGCATGGCGAAGTCAAAATTCTGCTTCCGCAACCTAAACTACCTGGGTTTCATCATAGGCGGCGGGACGCTGCGCATGGATCCGGGAAGGGTAGAAGCGATCCGGAACATCCCGAATCCGAGGACGGTCAAAGAACTACGAAGCTTCTTAGGTACGGCGGGGTGGTACCGCCGATTCATAAAGAACTTCGCCGAGATATCGGTACCGTTGACTGATGCCCTTAAGAAGAGAACGGGTAGATTTGTGTTGAGCGACGAGGCCATAGAAGCCATAGAAAGCTTGAAGTTAGCCCTCACCACAGCCCCGGTGTTAGTTCACGCGGATTTTCGAAGACCATTCTTCATCCAATGCGACGCATCTCACTACGGAGTAGGAGCCGTGTTGTTCCAGCTAGACGACGAACAACAGGAAAGGCCGATCGCATTCTTCTCGGCCAAACTCAACAAGCACCAGATCAACTATTCGGTGACCGAGAAGGAATGCCTAGCCGCCAAACTGGCCATACATCGATTCCGGCCGTACGTGGAGATGATGCCGTTCACGGTAATCACCGATCATGCGAGTCTGCAGTGGCTTATGAGTCTCAAAGACTTGAGCGGGAGATTAGCCAGGTGGTCCCTAGAACTGCAAGCGTTCCCTTTCTCCATGCAGTACCGCAAGGGAGCCGACAACGTCGTCGCAGACACATTGTCCCGAAGCGTGGAAGAGGTCGAACTGACCCCGGAAGATCTGTTGGGATTTCAGACCCCGGAGTTCGAGAGCACCGAATATCGAGAGCTGATAAGAGAGGTGATGAGCCAACAAGGGAAGTTGCCGGACCTTAGAGTGCAGGACGGACTTCTGTTCAAGAGGACCGTGCACGAGAGCTTGGAGGATGAGGTCGAAGGCACCAGTTGGAAGCTCTGGGTGCCGGAGTCGCTGACGGCAGGACTCATCCAACAAGCACACGCGGACGAGACGTCAGCTCATGGAGGCATGAGGAAAACGCTGCACGCGCTGCGCAGGCGATATTATTGGCCCAACATGGCCATACAAGTCAGGGACTATGTTCGGAAATGCGATACATGCAAGGAGACCAAGGCACAGAACTACCGAATGCAGGTCGGAATTGGGGAAGAAGTGCGCACCGACCGCCCCTTCCAGAAGCTATACATCGACTTCTTGGGGAAGTATCCACGGTCGAAACGAGGGCATGCGTGGATATTCGTCGTCGTAGACCACTTCTCGAAGTTTACTTTCCTGAAGGCCATGAGGGAAGCCACCGCGGCGGATGTCGTGAACTTCCTAGTGCATGAGGTGTTCTTCAAATTTGGCGTGCCGGAAGTGATCCATTCGGATAATGGACGACAATTCGTGTCAAAGTCGTTCGATGCGATGGTCCAGGCGTTTGGCATTACTCACCTACGCACACCAGTGTATTCGCCTCAGAGCAACGCCGCCGAACGCGTGAACCGCACAGTGCTGTCGGCAATCAGAACCTACCTAGGTCAGGATCATCGGGAATGGGACGCGTACCTACCAGAGGTGGAAGTGGCGATCCGGAATGCGGTCCACAGCGCTACGGGAGTCACTCCGTTCTTCGCGGTCTTTGGACAGCAGATGTACCTGAATGGTTCCAGTTACAATCTGGCCAGGAAGCTGAGATCATTGGCCGACCACAGTATTTCTGACCTTGACGCAAAGGACAGGCTGGCTGTAATCCGAAGCCAAGTCAAGGACCACCTGCACACCGCATACGAGCGAAGTCGCCAACGGTACGACCACCGCGCGCGACAGCTCCATCTGGAACCGGGACAGGAAGTGTGGAGGCGCAACTTCGCACTAAGCAGCTTCGGCAAAGCCTTCAATGCCAAGTTCGCCCGGAAGTTCTTGAAGAGCCGCGTCGTCCGAGCCGTGGGAACCAACGCCTACGAGTTGGAAGATCTCCAGGGACGCGTGCTAGGTGTCTTCCACGCAAAAGATATACGAACATAATCGTAATTTGCTCACCTCCTTGCCAGGCAACGGCGGCGGCAGCGCCAGTCCCCCCTTTTTTTTTGGGTCAGCGGAAAAAAATATAGATTACTTGTCGTGGGTGTGGCCTACGTTGGGCATCGTTATTAGCCGGCTGGGTCAATCCATGAAATGCGCACGCAGATTCCTTGTAACTGTCCTTCATGTCGTTACAATAATCTGCGTGGTGATGTTGCATTTGATGTTATCGGCAGCACCGAGGGTTACTCAGTTGGTTGCGTGCGATATTATCGGCCACGCCGATATCTTTTTGTCATATGGTCGGAGTATGCGGGGTGAAGCTGGGCCCACGGCGGAGCCCAAATTTTTGAAGGGTGGCAACGCCAGACATGCGATCCACGGCGCCAAAAGCGACGATTGCTATTGGCCGCCCGGTTCGCTCTTAAAGAGAATATGAGGAGAGTGGATCGCATGCCCTTGGATATGCCCTTGGCCTTCATTTGGGCCGTTGACCCAAAAAAATGCAGCTGTGCAGATGAGCAGCAACGGTGCCCGCCTCGCAAATGTATGCGTGTGCCGAAATTCGGCACCGATGGTGTGGCTGCCCAAAATGTAGAGGAGTTCGATTTGTTCAGCGGTTAACGGCGGGCGTGCCAGCTCGAAGTGAGCATAAAAGTTGTACATTGCTCAAAAGACTCGAATTTCTTCCTTCTGAAAATTAAGCCGGCACGTAATACAAAAGACTTAACGGACAAATAAAAGTTTTGGTTTTGTGTTAATAAATATATCTAAATCAAACCGCTCGAGTCACAAAAAAAATATAATAAAAAAATTAAAAGAGACTTAAAACTTAAGTGCGACGAGAGACGAACCAAATAAGCCAAAAATTAACGGCTCCGGCACCAAGGAGACCAGCTCGCGCACCAGAGAGGCCCACGAAATATTCAAAGGCCAGGATTCAGTGCAGCGGAGCAAACCAGCCATATCCGCGACGCCGCCAGCAAGCGTCGGCGCAAACCTGAAGGCGACGAGACGAGCCACCAACGACCGGGCTCCAACAACGAAGAAGCGGCCACAGGCGAGACCCCGCCCACATCCACCGAGTGAGTCCGTTCCATATCTTTGCCCATCCTCGTTCGAGCCCCTGGCAGAGTCAGAAGAAGACTCCTAATTGCACTCCCTGAAAAGGAGTAGATTTTTTTATTATCGTTAAATTTAGTTAATTTGTATTTATAAAATATATTTATACATACATAGGCACTCACGCCGAGCTTCACTTTAGAGTGCGAACGGTGAGGGAAACTCCAAAGGTGATGCATCTGCGCCTGTAAAATATAAAAATCTAAAATTAACACTTGCGCGAACTATGCTCACAGACTTACCTAATTTGAATTTACGCATTTATATCGCCCCTTACCACCCCCAGAGAGCTCTTTAGGTAGGGTAAGGTAGAATTAAGCGATTTAATACATACGATACATAATACGTGACATACCCAGTTTTAAGTAATTGTGTGGGCCATTGTTCCTAAATCGGCGCAACGATTGCCTCTAAAGTGCCTCCGTGCGCGTTTCTTTTGCGGCGACTAGCAATATCCTTGTAGTATTTCGTCGCCTGTTCCATTCAGTGTTGTAAAAAAAATAAAAAAAAAATTAATTCTATAAGATAAGAGAAAAATTTAGGAATTAATGCGCTTTGTCAATTAGTATAAATATATGCAACAGTAATACGCACCTGTGAAGTTAATGAATTATCCGCTTGCATGAGATCCTAAACAGCTGCAAGATAAATGCCATAAGCAATGATTATGATTGTTATACATTTTAAGAAAACGCGACCAATTATACGCACCTATTGAAAGAAATCATGTCCGGCTAAAATAATATTGTTGGGGAGAGTGGGCATTATGGCCGACACGGGCTAATATAGGCCATTTAGTGGCCAAAATGAGGGAGACGAGTGGAGGTGATCGTCTCATGGTAGGGCGGGTACGCTGGGTCCGGAACCGGGGCCCGATCTGGAAGAGTAAGGTGGATAAATAGTGTTTTTTTGTTAATTTATATTGAGTGTCTTACCTTTGTTGTTTACATTTTCATAGTTGTTACAGCTGTGTATTTTGTTCATGAGTTAGTAGTTCCGAATATTTGTTATCGATTATGCGGTTCATTTTGAGTAGTGTTGTGTGAGTCTGTTTTGTTACAGACGTGTAGTTTTGTTGTTATCGATTGTGCGGACTGCGGGCCAGGGATGGGACCACACCCAGAGAATCCGATGAGCCAGCCGGCGCGGCCCACTGAGAAACAAGCAGTTCCGTAACATAAATGCATTTGAAAGTGACCGATAGTTTTTCGATAACAAGTACCAAAATTCGACGCTAAGTCACCGCCGCTAATTTGACGCACGTTTTTGATTGTAGAGAAAAAATCGAACTATCGATAGCTATTAATGCCGATAGTGCTGTTATTGAGTGACAGCTGTTTAAAATCGGCTATCAGCTGTTAAATTAAATTTTAAGCGAAATTGTTGCAACTCTGAACATCATTTGACGGATATTTTTTAAAGAATATCTTATATATTACTTATATATTATACGTTTGGTAATAATAGATTTTTAGTTCGCTTTAAGTATATACATATATTACCCGTTTGGACCCACCAAATCGATAAAGCCTTGCGATCTGTCTGTATCTATTTAATCTAAACGAACAGTTTTTAAGTTAAGTGGATTTATTTTTCAATAGTAAGGTGGAAAAATAGCAAGATCAACGCTCGCTAAATATTCTACGAATATGTCATGAACAGACACATTTTTATTTCAACTATATTTTATTGTACACTTGCAATTTTAAGAAAAATTAAGTTATATTTCGAATAAAAATACTTTATAATGATGTTTATAAATCTTCAAAGTCCTATTGCTAAAATGTTGAAAAAGAACTTCTTTTAAAATAAATAATAAATGAATACATACGTATGTATATACATTTCAGCTTAATAAGTACTTTTATGTAGGCAACTATTGTGGATTTGTAAATTTATGCCCAATAAAATGGATATTTAGGCCATTGTGAGCGAAATCTGTATGAAATAGGAACATGTAGTATGTATGCATGTGTGGTACATATTGTCGATTGTGTGTGCACGGCTTTTAATATAGGACTGTATTTAAATAAACATATCGAGCATGTATTTAAATTTATACATATACATGTTTTTTTGGTTTACGCATGTGGTTGTGTATGCGTGTATGAATATATATATATATCTACACATGTGAATGTATAATTCTATATTGTGAATGTGCGGGAACTTGGCAATATAGAAAAAAAATAGAATGTGGACATTGTGGACGCTATCTTTAATGTGCACTCATATTCTTTGAATCGAACGGAATATACATCCATCCATATGTATGTAGATATATTTTGTTCATTCGAGGTTATTATTTTAGTCCGGGTGGTATTTTAATTTTATTGTTATCTTACACAAGTTTAGACCGCGTAATTTAGGTAAGACTGTGCCGCGTTGTACGTGTATAATTAATTGCAGCAAAATTAACAAGTGGTAAGTTAAAGCAAGCTGATTAAGTAATGTTCTTTTAAAACGTGAATAAAGTCTCTACAAAAATATGCATATTCATAAACAAACGGTTATATAAGCTGTAAATATCAACCTGTTTATGTAAATGTTAATTCACATACAAAGTACTTAATGAATGTCTTCTATGTAATATGTACATATGTAGTTAATATATTTTCGAATATGTTCATACATATGTATGCGTGCTGCCTAAACGTATATGTACATATATGCACACATATGCCGAAATATCATGCACATACATGTGTACATATGTACCACATATATACATATATATAAAACAAAACCGTAAAAATAATAAACGGTGTCAACAGGTGGGGATCTAATAGAATGTTTTTATACATCTATTCTGATGTTAATATATTTCATATGCGTATATCAAATATGTCCAATTTCTCATTTGAAAGATTTTTCTCTCTCCATATATATTTATGTACTTGCTGAAATAATATATATTACATGAAGCATCTATAAATCGTTTGGAGTATTTTTATACCCTTGTTGAGAGTATTATAATTTTGTCATGAGATATGTAATGCATAGAAGGAGACATCTCCGACCTCATAAAGTATATATATTCTAGATTAGTATCAACAGCCGACTTGATATACCATGTCCATCTTTAAAAAGTTTTATTATTATAGAATTTAATTATTACAATTATTTTTACAATTCTTTAGATAAACCTTTTTGAATATCTTTTAAAATGGATTCTGAAGCTGTGGTAAGTACAAAAGCTAAAATTTTGTATTTTACATCAAGTACATTACAATTTATATAATTCAAACTTCATCTACTTCATTTAATGTACTTTGCATCCTTTAGATATACAAAGTACTTGAAAATTATTTGCTATATTTAATTTGCACTCTGCCCGCGAGAAGAAAGGAATATATTTGTTTCGATGCCAATGAAGACTAAAAATTTAGAATATCTACTCGTGTTAAACCGCTTAAAAAAAGTATTTCGGTTTTGCAGGGTTTTTACTGATGATCTCCATTCAATTTAATCGCCACAAATGGTCAGACACCCGTATTTCCTAAAAGCACAAAAGAGTGTTGCAAAGTCGGCTGTACCCAACTGCAAAGTTCTTACTTGTCCTTAACTGAATTCATTGTTTAATAACTTCTTTGTTTATTTTCTGATCGTTATAACAAAGGGTGTAGAATACATACAAATTTGGATTTTGGCATATGCCCAAACTGCCTACTACCTTTACTACTTACGCGGAGTATCTTTTAGTTAAAGGCTCTCTTATTTTATTATCATTGACTGGAAAAAATAAGCGGCATCGGCCACTCAAACAGTATTAGTTATACTATAATAATAAGAAAATGGCGTCCAACGTAGCCTTCATGTTCGACACATAATATAATAATAAGACATGGCGCCCAACGCGAGGCATATTTTCATATTATTATAATATGCAAAAGTCGATCATATCGTCAGCACGCATGCAATCACCCAAACATATATAACAATTTAAAATTATTGCTGAATTTGGACCGTCGACCTACCGTCTTCAGTAAAAATTTCAGATTCGAACCTCTTGCGGTCAAGCTATGCGTTCAGTCAATCAGGACACGCAGCTTAATACGCAGCTTAATGTATCCTATCTATAAACTATTGAGTCTGACTTCTGTCTTCTTGAATGCCACCAAGGATATGCGCTACGATCTATAGAAGATGCTGGCTTTTAATTAAAATGCAATCCAATTTGATTACGATGCTTGCCAATTGCTTTTTTACATAAGTGCATAAGTGCTTGCCCTCAAATTGCTTTCAATAACGTGTTATTGTTTTTCATTTTAACATTAAGACGAAATTAAGTGAAACCGAAAATACCGAATTGGTTAAGGACTCGAAAGAAAGTGTCCCACCTGAAGCAACTGACACAACCAAGGATCAGAAAAGCGTCGATAAAAATGTCAATGAGGAAGTGGCCAGTGTAGATGATGGCAATGAGAGTCGTCATACAGAGATCAAAACAACAACTACAATCGTTACGACTAAAAAGGATAATGGCGATGAAGGTCCCCTTACAGAGACTCAAACAACAACCACGGTCGTTGTCACGAAAAAGGATAGCGGAGAGGAGACTTCGCAGAAGGAAACTGAAACGACATCATCAACAGTTGTTATAGCTAAAAAAGCTGAGGACGGATTGGCTCCAATTAAAGATAATGTATCTAATGTTGATAACAGCCAGATAAAAGCCGAAACTAAAGAATCGCAGCTAGTTAAGCCCGAACTGATATCGGACCCGGTTACAGAAACCGCTGAAACTATTAACAAAAGTGGCTCGCAATCAAGTATTCCGGATACATCTACGGATGCCGCAGAACAAAATGTTAGTGCTTCCGAAAGGAAAGAGGAAGAGGAATCCGAAGAGGGTGACAGTACGTCTGATGATGAAGACTTGGGAGAAGAGACAGAGGCCAAGATTGAAAAAGTATAAAATCTCTTATTTACCTATAATAATAGCGCGTATTCCAAAACTTAACGCAAGTGCTCGATAACTTGAATATATACTCTATATATACAAAATCTAAACCTTTAAATAAGTTATTTTATTGAAAATATATAAATTGTATTATTTGTTTTGAATTCTAACAAGTAACTAGGCCAATTATCTGAGGATGAGCGAACATTTTAATCAAATATGTGTTTCTAATTATTATTATTATTATCAACAATTTGATTTCTTTAGAATAAAGATGACCGAGATGAGTCCCAGTCAGAAGTTGTTGCCGTACATGTGAAAAAAGCCCAAGACTCGACTGAAAAAATAAACAACGCGAATGTAAGTAATTACCCAATATTTTATATATTTGTTGTATATACAAATATTCAGTATTGTAAGAACTATTTTTATACCCTGAACCCATTGAAAATGGGTAAAAAGGGCATAATGTAATTGTGCAATTGTGTGTAACAGGCAGAAAGAAGCATCTTCGACCCCATAAAGTATATATATTCTTGATCAGCATCAATAGCCGAGTCGATCTATCTATGTCCGTCTGTATGTCCGTCCGTCCGCTCGTCTGTCTGAACTAAATTATCTCAGAACCTATAAGAGCTAAAGATTTGCAATTTTAAATGTAGGTCCTCCTAGTGTCCGCGCAGTACGATTTTGTTTCCGATATTCGATAACTCTGCCCGTTTCCAAGTAATCGATAAAAATCGATATAAAAACCTGATTTTGAGCAATTTAAACCGCAATTTTAATGCAAATGCCCTTTTGAGTATACACAAATATATAATGAGATCTGCTGTTAAAAATTTCATCAAAATATCCCCTAGTCGGGAGCTCCGGACTAGAGCCTCTTACTTGCTTAAATGTTATTTTTGCCAGACCACATAACCACATAATACCCATTAAATAAGGCCAAGCTGTTTGCTTTAATATGTTATTATAATATTTGCACTTATCTTTCAGAAGGATATTAATAATCAAATAGAGAACATTATATCTGATATTGATATAAATATAAAAGCACAGGAAAAAATAACGCAGCTCAAGGAACAAGAGCTGCAACTTATCCAGAAACAAAAGGAGCTGGCCAGCCAGATTCAACAGCAACAATTATTAGCTCAAAAGTTGTTTGCGCAAAATCAATTAAAGGAACAGGAACTTAAGGCGCAACAGTATCAGCAAAATCAATTGAAGGAGCAAGAGCTGAGGGCGCAACAGTATCAGAAAAATCAATTGAAGGAGCAGGAGCTGAGGGCACAACAGTATCGGCAAAATCAATTGAAGGAACAAGAGTTGAGGGCGCAACAGTATGAGCAACAGAATCAGTTCCATAGCCCCAACGAGTACAAGGAAGAGATAGCTCCAAAAGTGGCACAGGATTACACAAGGGTTCACAGCCAGCAAGAAGATTCATACGACAAAAAGGTAGGCCACAATAGCACTAATATCACAAAGTGAGAAACTCATCCTAATTAAGAAAATCTAGAAACATGATCGGTCTACCTATTTGTGTACCCTGTACGCATAGAAATTGCGTTATATGGGTATTAAAAAATTTGCCTATATTGATGTAACAGACAGGACGATAAGCAGATCCGATCTACCCATGCTCGTCTTTTCCGTCCTGCCCTCTGTCTGTATAAAGGCGTCGATCTCAAATTATAAGAGCATGATTGTACACTTTTACATTCTAAAGTAAAATATGTACAGTATGTATATTTTGTTCGTTGTTTACTCAGTTTACTCGTTCATATGCATGTTGTACATTTATATCTTACGTATATATCTATATCTATATATTGCATTTGTATTTGTATTTGTTTTTTGTGTGTGGTACTCGTACTATTTCGTTTTCATTTGGGTGATCCGTTACCCACTCTTCGAGTATCTGTATCTGTATTTGTATTTGTATTTGTGTGTGGTACTCGCAGTATTCAAGTTTATTTGGTTATCTGTTACCCACTCTCCGAGTATCTCTATAATTAGCATTTAAGAGAGAGCTTCTTAAATATATGCACACATCATTCACAGACAACTATATACTCAAACATAAGCACACGCACACTCACATGAATGTGAATCTGTTAAGAAAATTTTATTTGTACGAAAGGCGAAGGCGTTTGCGAGTCCAATTTGTGTTTGAACATGCATAAAGGTTTTTCAACGTCCAATATTAAGGGCCTATCCCAATCTTTATGGAATTCTTGTGATCTGGAAAAGTCACATGGCCAAATTAACAATTGTACAATTGAAAGGAAACGTGGCTTTCGACCTAGCGATCGTTATGATGAAAGCAAGAAAAAAATTTTGCTCGAACTGAGCACAAAGCTGTGGCAAAGAAAAAATGTACGTAGATCGTTGCAAAAGGCTCTACATACTATATGTACATATCTGTCGATATGAATGATAGATAATATAAACAATATACACGAATGTCAGCATACATAGTACACGAATTTCAAATATAAGTTTATTGAATATACAATTTGATTGAATTTAGAAAATAGTATGAATGTGTATGTTAATTAAAATAGGAATCATCCAACTTGTCGAGGACTGTAGATTTGCGCAAAATATTTACACCAGCTACAGATGCTCCCGAAATATTGCCAAAGAACCGTAAGTAATATTTCAATTGAATTTAAAAAGGTGATACGTAAAATGAATAAAATTTAATATGTAATATTTACGGCGGTTACCCAATAGAAAAGCCTTCGACATTTGTAAGCTGAAGAATATACATAAATTCACACACATCCTTAATCATCTTCATCAATATATATATAGATATATATATGTATATATATTTTATATCTATATATATATATATATCTATATCTGAAATTCGCTTTGTGCTTTATGGCTTAGTTTCAGTTACCTAGAAATCAGAGTGGATTACGTATCGCCTTTAACAATGCTTTGAGTGAATCAATTGAATTTACCTTAAATTTGTTCAAAATAGGAAAGCTATATGCTTCATCAGCATTTTATTCCCCATCACTGCATCCAACCGTGGAGGACCAGGTTGAGCTTGCTCGCCGAATATCGCATTCATTGAGTGACATAAGCAATCAAACCTCTAAGGGTCAATCAATGTATGTGAATCGGAAAAAACGATCAGTAAAATGGGTTCACGAAGGTTCTGGCCAAGGTAATAGATCTCTTAATGCATGCATAAAAGGTCCTGTTATGCCCTTAGGTATTATACGTGTACACTTCTTATACGATGTACATTTTTATATATACAGTGGACCCTCGGTTAACGTACACAATTGGTGCCAGCATCTTGTTTATTATGCGAAACATTTGTTAAGCAAAACCATTATTCCCATATAAACCAATGTAAAATAAAAAAGGCGTTCCAGGTCGAAAAAAATTCACTCTAATATGATTCAATTTGAACTTTTATTGAAAGAAAGTAACATGAAATAAAACATAACTTTTAAAGAACGGGAAAAATACCCCAAAATATTTTAATATTTTATTTATATTTATATTGAAAGAAAGTTAAATGAAACGTATAAATTTTTTAAGGAACTGAAAATATATTGGACGGAAGGAGACAATCTGAAATGGAAAAAAGAAAGTGGCGTAGAAATTGTTCTCTCGAGAGAATGTAGATAGAGCAGTTCATGTAGCGAACTAAATGTTGTATTTTGTCTCAACTGTTGTGCAAGTGTTTAGTCTACAGAATGCAGCCATTGCTAAACAGAGACAGAAATTTTACATGCAATTAAGGTTTCCCCCTTTTTCGTTCGTCGTTATGCGAAACTTCGTTCGTGAGGAGAAACTTTTTTTCCCAAAAAAACGTGTTCGTTTTGCAAAATTTTCATTATGCGTGGCATTCGTTAACCGAGGGTCCACTGTACACCAATTAGGTCATTAAATAGAAACTGTTCGTTATCTAAAAAACCTTGCTACCCTTACTTATATAACAAAAAAAGTATATATTGGTGCAATGGAAATAATGTTTCAGGCATAGGTTTGTGCGACTTGGGGTGGTCAGTTTTGCCAGTTAAGACAATCTGTCCCTGACTTTGGCTATTTTATGTTGGAAACACATAAAATCTTAAATCTACTGCAAACTGTAGCTTTGAAAGCAAAGAAAATTCAAATATTTTAAGCAACTTTAACATTGGATTCAACTATTTACTAATATATATTTAAATATAAAGAAATCTAAATTGACAGGCTTGCATCAAAAGACTTACTAGATAGACTGTCAGGGAACTAGGCAGGGAAGATATATTTAGTATTTAGATATTATTGCAGCATTAACTGAACTTATTTTTTCATATATATATATCCATACACATATGTATAAAAAGTACACAAATATTTTTGAGCATGAATAAGTCTAAAATAAGCCTTAACTAATTGCCCAGATATAATAGGTATTTTATTTGATTACATTTGTTTCTGTTATGTATCGTATGTAATCGGCTTTGTATTCCTCAGTTTAAACAAAAAACCATGTAGGCTATTACCAAAGACAATATAAACACTAAGATGAGTAACGCCATATAAAAAAATGCTACTATTTAGCTTGTACTCTCAGCTTCTGCACTATGAGGGCCGATCGAATCTAAATAACTTCGATGCTCGTGTCAGCACGTCTGCCTTTTGGAGGGCGAAGAGCCAGTCGGCTGGCGTGTCGTGTGAAGCGGGAAAGCCAGATGAGAAGCCAGGCTAAAAATTTTGCGACGCACTCAAATGTATGGGCATTACTCATCTAAGTGTTTATATTGTCTTTGATATTACTAACGTAATCATCTTTTATTATTACATCCTGCTATGCGAACAATCCCTTTTTATATTATATATTATGCTTGTTGTCTTACTTTATGAAGAGCCTATAGTAAATGATTACCCATGCATGTCAAAAAAAAAAAAAAAAACAGTGATTGATTAATTTGTTTAAAAATCGTTTACCTAAACTTTCAAATAACATATCGTATTGTAGAAATAGAAGAAGATGATATTATTGAAACACGCTCATTAAGTAAAGAAAATACGGAAGAGATTTTGAAGCCGGATTTAAATAAGCTGGAAAAAATGCCTTTAAAGTTAGTCATGAATCCACGAGGACAAATGCGCGATTATAACTCACTGAAAGAATCTATAAATGTTGAATCAGGCCTTTTATCACCTGACAATTGCGCTGAGCTAATAACTGCGCTGCAACTGCATAAAGGCCGAGGTAAACAAATTTAATCCCATTACATTTAGCAATAAGTATTTAAGTACTACAACATGCACACAAATGATAACACAGTAACACTATTATTATACCCTTGTCGTGAAATATGTAACGCATAGAAGGAGACATCTCCGTTCCCATAAAGTATATATATTCTTGATCAGTATCAACAGCTGAGTGGATATAGCCATGTCCGTGTGTCTGGTTCTATGCGAACTAGTCGCTCAGTTTTAAAGCTATCTTAATGAAATTTTGCAGAAGTCGAAACCAACTGGATCGCACCAGTATATTATATAGCTGCCATAGCAACAATCGGTAGAAAAGTAGGTTCTTGTATGAAACACTTTTTTGATTATCGATATATCTTGATTAAACTCGGCATTTATTAGTTTTACTATGCTACTAAGAGCTAGAGACTTGAAATCTTAGATGCAGGTGCTTCTAGTGCCTGCGCAGATCGAGTTTGTTTCCGATAATCGATAACTTACTCCGTTTCCAAGCAATCGATAAAATCGATATCGATATCCTGTTTTTTGGGCAATTTTGGTAAATAAAAAGAGCTATAGTCAACAAACTTGACATATAGCTTCTAAAATAGAATATACATATGCATTTCATGTTAGAAGAAGAGGGTTCAGGGTATCCCCTAGTCGCGAGCTCCCGACTAGAACCTCTTACTTGTTTTTTATTAAATTTGTACACACACACACACATACACACACATGCTCATACTCATTTAAACACGCATAAATTACTTAAGTAATTGGTTTGTTCTACGCAGAGATAACAAACCTAGTAATTTTGTTGATTTATTGCTGGTTTTGAAAGGTTTTTGATAATTAAATAATCTAATAATTTAATTTATTTAACAACATGAACCACCCAAATATTGCTTTGCCCGCCGCCGCCGCCGCCGCCTCGGCCTGCTTGCTGCTCTTCTATAAACAACAACAATAATAATTGTGAAAACCCAAAACAATTATAAATATATATATACATATATGCAAACATCACCATCAAGGAGCTGAGCTCTTTGCAAAACGTCGTAGAAAGGCTGAAAATTGGGTAGTCGACGAGACAAATGCCGGCATTCACAGTCCATCTGGTATTCCAGATTACCAACAATATCAGGCAAGGCCGGCGACCTCGCCGAGCATTTTGCCAGCATATTCGGATGCTGGAAAGCATCGGGTTCAATTAAATCTTCACCAGGATCAGCTCATTGAGAAATACTCAAAGCCAGGTGTCCAGGTAGTTAAATCACCCTGGGAAGCTGCCCTCCAGACTGGCTCGGCAAGCGCAGCATTTTTGGAGGACTCCAGATATCAAAACCAAACACCGATTACCTCTCAAGCGTCACCTGTGCATTTCAATCAAGACGTTACCGATTTTCAAAGTTCAATCTCAGAGTTGCCATCACGTCAGCCTGCCCCTTATTGTGCCTCATCGAACAACGTACAGGATCCGTATAAAAATGTTAGTTTCTAGCACTTAAATGGTATGGTATTTTTATCTGAAACTTTTGCTTTTAGCTACACAACACTCGTGTCCAAAGCCAAGCCAACCAACCTCCGAGCAATCCACAAAGAGAACTGGCATACAAGCCAAGCGTGGCACAAGGCTGGGGAGGTCGCAATGTTGAGCTACCAAGAGGTAAAGATAAAAGTAATTTGAAAAGAGTACAACAAAATATCATAAATAGATTATAAATTCCTTATTTGAGAATCTTGCAGCATTAGGCCTGCTTCTAATTCTAATTTTAATTTTCTTAGTCCTAAGAACCTTGAAAAGAAATCCCCAATTAGTTTGGGAGGTCGCAATGTTGAACTAGCAAGAGGTGAAGGCAACTAATTATTTTTATTAATTTGATAGTATAGTATTATAGTAAATATCATAAATACATCGTAAATTTCTTATTTGAGAATCTTGCAGCATTAGGCCTCATTCTAATTCTAATATTAGTTTTCTTAGTCCTAAGAAATCCCTAATTAGTTTTTTTTAATTTAAAAGCAAGTCAGTGAACGTATATATTGCGATTTCGTTTATTGTTAATGCGAAATTAAATATTTCAGAGTATTATTGGCAAAGCTACCAGCAACAATGTGAAACACAGAATACTGATGATATGAGTGAATATTATTACTCGAATGAACATGTTCTCGTAGATCCCAAGGCCTATGGAGCTAATATAACTAATAATTCAAACAACTATTTTACCGATGACATTGAACATAGGCTACTGCAGTTAGAACAATTTCAGAAATGCTTTATGCAACAGCAAAGGCTGGGTCTGAACATAGGAATCAAACATGGCATGCCTGAGGCATCTGGTCAACGAAATGAAACTACAGACATGTACAGAAAAAATAAGGAATCTGAGATAGCTCCCGATAATACGAATTTATCAAAATGCAAAGAAGATATAACAAAGAATATCGCTGAAGTAACTGATCCAGTTAATGTACGTGAATTAATTTTCTCATTTGAGCAACAGTCCTTACGAGAACACGAAGGACTTCAGAAAAACCGATGCGAATTTACAACTGACATAAGGCGTTCGATTGACGATAATTCAAAATCACAAAGTAATTTCGCATTGAAAACGGAAAATAATGATGATGCTGATGAGTCCACAACCAAAGGCATGATTGCATCCACTCCAACTTTCTGTACATAACCTCCAATATACGTGTTCACATAAATATCTGTTTACTGTACATTAAATGTATTACAATTCTGTCACAATATGTTAAACTATATATATATGTGTTCAACACAAGTCCAATAATAATAAGTCTAGTAAACAATCTCTTTTTAGATAGACTAGGCTCCCCAAATGAAGAAATGACTATTTTTTGTTTTTAAAGCCGAAAGCTAAAAAACCCAAAGATGCTTGATACTTGTTTATACTACTTGATGATTTGTCAAAAAACAGAATCTGTATTTCGATTTTTGGAAAGTCTTTTTTGAAAACAGGGAGGACAGACAGGCATAAGGACAGGCAGACAGACATGGCCAGATCGACTCGATACAGATCGATAACATATACATATATTTTATGGAGTCAGATAGAATATACAATATTTTTGGGGCCCCAATCAACAAAAAAACAAGTAAGAGGTTCTAATCGACTAGGGGATACCCTGAACCCTCTTCTTCCAACATCAAATGCATATATTTATTCTATTTTAGAAGCTATATGTCAAGTTTGGTAGCTCTTATTATTTACCAAAATTGCCCAAAAAACAGGATATCGATATCAATTTTTATCGATTGCTTGGAAACTGAGTAAGTTATCGATTATCGGAAACAAACTCGATCTGCGCGAGCACTAGGAGCACCTACATGTAAAATTTCAAGTCTCTAGCTCTTATAGGTTTTGAGAGCCTTGCGTTCATACATACGGACAGACGGACACAAGGACAGACAGACAGACGGACATGGCTAGATCGACTCGGCTATTGATACTGATCAAGAATATATATACTTTATGGGGTCGTGGATGCTTCCTTTTTCCTGTTACATACATTTGGATTTTGCACGAATACAATATACCCTTATACCCATTTTAAATGGGTTCAGGGTATAAAAACCCAGAAGAATAAGTTAGATATGTTGCATAGTGTTATTTGGATATACCTGTATGTTTGTGAATATATGAAATTCACATTGTGAATATGAATATTCCTACAAACATGTTGTAGAATAAGTTCTAATATGTTATTTTATTTAATTGACTTACTCTCCTGTAGGTTTATATGTGCCCAAGGAAATCTCACTGGCGAGTTACGCACCTCCGCCGGTACAGCAACATACATCTAACTTTCAAACCCCAACAAAGGCCGACTTTTCAAAAGGATATTTGACATCTCATGTTGGTGATGCACCAAGTGGTTTTCCCATTTCGAATCCCACAACCGGATTATATTCATCAGTGCCGCCCAAGCAACAACTCTATGCTCCGGCGAGTTACCAAAAGGTGCCCCCAAGCTCCGTCCAGGCGGCACCACAGGTCAACTTTAATCCCTCGCCGTTGTCATTTGATAAGTTATCCAAATTTCAAGAATCAAACCAGAGAAATTCTGGTGTATCGACTCAGCGATATCTTAATGCAAACAAACAGCCAGCATATACAAACGTGAGGAATGCATCCCCCACTCCGTTCACGCCTGGAGGTATCGGAGATCGTGCAGGTTTCGATAATATCCAACGATCAACTTTTTCATCGACCCCATCAAATTATGGACAGAATGCATATAGCCCGGAATCTCATCAATTGCGTGCCCCTGGTCAATGCTTCAACAACAGCGCTCGTGGCTGGAGCCAAGCCTCTAATTCTCAACGAAATTTCCTCTCTTCAAAGGTCCCGCTAGCGACAGAAGGTCTGCCTTACTCAGACTTCTGAAATTGATCAGATATAATATATTATAGTTCATAATCTGTAATCCGATTACGATTTACGACATGCTTCTATTCAACGCATACATACATATACATATGTGTATACATATATCTATATAAATATTCATACACATATACATAAACATATATTCATATACATATACATATACATATACATATACATATACATATACATATACTTATACATATACATATACATATACATATACATATGCATATACATATACATATACATATACATATACATATACATATACATATACATATACATATACATATACATATACATATACATATACATATACATATACATATACATATACATATACATATACATATACATATACATATACATATACATATTCATATACATATACTTATACATATACATATACGTATACATATACATATACATATACATATACATATACATATACATATACATATACATATACATATACATATACATATACATATACATATACATATACATATACATATTCATATACATATACATATACATATACATATACATATACGTATACATATACGTATACATATACATATACATATACATATACATATACATATACATATACATATACATATACATATACATATACATATACATATACATATACATATACATATACACATACATATGTATGTATCTGATTGAATATATACGATATTTATTAATGTTTATTGATTGCGTTTGTTTATTTGCTTCTTTAATATAATAATATATATTTATGAACAATTGTGTGATTTAGTCATTTTTCATTTCTAGCATGTCTAAGTAGAGGGAAATTGTTAAAAATGGTTCTAATCATGGCCCAGGGTGGGCACAGGGTGGAACAATGGTGACAACTCAACAGAAATCTCTATATTCGGGTGCCACGGAATTTCAAGTTAAATTTTCAGTCACTATAGCTAACACAAAACGTACATATACATAAGTATATAACTGAAAACTTTCTGCGTACCTTGATATCAAAACGTAATTGGCGCAAGTAGGTATAATATTCGAATACCAGCAGGCCATTGTATTCAAATCAAAGGGTTACGCACACTGCGCGTAACATCAAAAATGTCATAAAATGTTATTTCTTTTAATGTTTAGAATATATTTCCATCTTTATTGCGTACATTTGAGTAATTTATTAATAGGGAATTTATTTAAAAGAAAGTATAATTTTACTGTACGCAACGATCGTACGAAAAAGCCTTAGGCTGTGACCGCACAAGCGCAACAGAAATAATATGCTTCCCTTGGCAGGCACATACATACATACATGTAGATTATTTACCATAATGTTTGAGCTTCGATACCCTTAAGAAAACCAATTATTATTGATTGTACTAATAGTTGCACACTAAATACGAAACTGTATTTTACTCAAACATTGGATAATGATTTGTATATAAGAAGGTTAGTGGTATTTGGTTACAGCCCTTATCAATAGTTAAAATACCCTATTTGGGAAAGAATGCTTTGCTGGTCGAAAAATGAAAAATGATAAAAATCTGCCGGGTGGCTTGCAAGTTGAAAGCGAGTGGAGAAAAAGATTATAACTTTGTGACTGCGAATTAAAGGCATAGCAGTGCTAAGAAGCCTCAACAATGAGTGAGAAGAGTGCAGAAGCTAAGATCCTAGGCTGTAGCCCAAAACAAAAAGGGATAGCAAACACATAATATATGGTGTGTTCTTTTCAATGTCGATTCGTTTGTTTTGATTACGGTTGTTGTTGGTTCTTAAAGTAAATGTTCTGCAGTTGTCTTTGAATTTTGGGCAGACGGATGTTGTGTTTGTAGCCTTGGTATCTTGCTTCAAGTATTTTGAAAAAGAGATTTTGATCCAAAAGCCTTCTCTGTAAACTATTTATTACTCAATGCACCCTTACGAACTGTTCTATACATACACAAAAACATACGTATGCATGCCGCTTGCTGTGCAGCTTACACTGGGGCTGTGCCTTTAAGGGTAATAAATTCTTGAGCAGCATCGGTGATTATGGAGCAATATTTTGTTTATATATCAACAAGTTTGACTATTTAGCTACGAGAATATTGCAATAAAGCAAATACTCAAAATTTCAAGACTAGCTTTTTAATTTCCGAGATCGACAGACAGAGGGATATGCAGCCGGGTGTTCAGTAGGACATGTGGCCTGGTTAAGAATATAAATATATATATGTATGTTACATGCATTAGATCGAAACCATAGTAAAATCTGTTTAGCTATTTTGAAAAGGTTCAGGGTATAAAAAAATCATAATGGAATAGTTGAATCGCACCTGGTAACACTTAGAGTTGCCATAGTGTAAAATTAAACAAGTAAAAGGTTCTAGTAGGGAGCTCCCGACTAGGGTATACCCTGAACCATCTTCATTCAACATCAGATGCAAATATATATTCTATTTTAGAAGCTAGATGTCAAGTTTGGTGACTGTAGCTCTTATTATTTACCAAAATTGCCCAAAAAACAGGATATCGATATCGATTTTTATCGATTGCTTGGAAACGGAGTAAGTTATCGATTATCGGAAACAAACTCGATCTGCGCGGGAACTAGGAGCACCTACATCTAAATTTTAAGTCTCTAGCTCTTATAGGTTCTGAGATCCTTGCGTTCATACATACGGACGGACGGACGGACGGACGGACGGACAGACAGACGGACATGGCTAGATCGACTCGGCTATTGATGCTGATCAAGAATATATATACTTTATGGGGTCGGAGATGCTTCCTTCTGCCTGTTACATACATTTGGATTTTGCACACAATACAATATACCCTTATACCCATTTTTAATGGGTTCAGGGTATAAAAATGCCAACCCTCGTAAAAGCTCTCTCTTTTGCATTCTCAGAGAGCTCAACTGAATACGACCAGATGCTTCGGTGGTTGAACAAAGTTGAGCTGCGCAGTGCGTGTGAAAGGGAATTGTGAATACAAATCGCAGGATTAAATATATTGAACAAATTTTTCTACAAAAACTAAATGCCCTCTTGCATATAAAAAGAAACACTTATCAATGTTAAAAATCAATTATTATGATAGTAAGTGCTCGTTGAAAATCTCAAAAATACATTCGTTTAAAAAGTTTTAAGAAATTTTATTATGGCTTATAAAAGAGATGGATAAGGTTTCAAGCCTGTTAATAGTAAGTATATTAAAGATAATGACAATGAAAAGAATACATCATTTGGCGCGTAAATAATAAAATAAACTATAAATACCAGTGAATCATCGTCGATGTTTTGTTTAATGAATACGCATATGCATATACAAGTGGATAAATGGATAAATAGATAAAAAAAAAAATGTTACATACAAGTTTGCTATTTCTAAGACTATTGCGATTGAATTGTACGCCAAATCGCCTTCACATCAATTGTACTTACCTATTCATGCATGTACACATGCCATAAGGTATGAAGGAGGCTGCAAGCTGTAAATGATATTCATACAAAAGACCTATTCAAAATAGGTTAAACGGGGAAAATCAAAGACCAAATAGCTAACATGAGTAACGCCATACAACAAAATGCTACTATGCAGCTCATTTTTTGAATTTATTCTCAGCTTCGACTCTATGAGGGTCGAACGAATCGACGTAGAGCACGATCGATCAGACTGGCGACTAACTTCGTTGCTTTTGTCAGTATCTTTGAGTAATAAAAAAATCTGTTTATTACTCAATGTGTCAGCATCAGTAAGCCACGACTTCGGCATTCGTTCGCCTGGCCTTTGAAGAGCGAAGAGCCAGTCGACTGGCGTATGGATTAAAGTGGAAAAGCCAGATGAGAAGCCAGGCTAGAAATTTTGCGTCGCATTCAAATGTATGGGCGTTACTTATCTTAGTGTTTATATTGTCTTTTGAATAATGGTATTATTTCAGCGTAAGTAGCAGGCAGAAGTAGGCATATCCAATCCCATAAAGTATGTGTATTTTTACTTAGCATTGATAGTCGAGTCTATCTACCTATATGCGTCTCTTTGACCCATCCGTTTTTATAAATACATCCATCTAGCAATCAACAAAGCTAGAAATTTGGAATGTTGGACTTTACAATGGCGGGATATTTTCAGAGAAGGGGATTAGGAATGGCATCGTCTGCTCTACTCGGTGAGGCTGGGCTTGGACGGAGTAAGACCAGATGTGGGAACTATAGATGAGCCAGCGATCCAGGAGAACGACCAGATAGCAGAATGAGCTGGCAACTAATTGCAATTACGATTTTATTGTATGTTGTACTGTTTGTTATTATACTGTGTGTGTGTTTTTTTTATAAGAACTTAAGTGTTAGTTTTAATTGATTGTACGTTTTTATTTTTATAATTTTTGTTTTTTATTTCCCTTTATCCATTAATTTGGTCACAAAGCATCTCCTGGTCGGGAACTAGTTGGCAAATCCGGATGAAAAACAAATAAATATGATATTATTTGTATTAATAAATTAATTAAAATTAATAGTTATGGGCCAATAAGCGGGCAGAGTTTTAATAAAAATGAATATTCTTAACAAAAAAATCATATAAGACGTGGCTTATAAAATTTAATTTATTTATTTTAGGTTTAAGAAACAACAAAATAGCATCGAGGCATTCCTAAGAAGTAGCCAAGGTGAACGACAATGGTGGCTTCATCTGGCAAAAAACAGAGCTCGGATAATTTAAATAAGTTCAAGCCGATCATTTTTTTTATCCTGCATTTAAATAGTAGTATTCAGCAGATAAGCGCATCATCGTTTTTAATAATCAATGGTAAGGATAAAATGTAATTTAACAATCTAATGGGCTTTCATCAGTTCATTTTATATTTCCAGACTTGGCCAACTTGGATCGACCTTACTTTGACGATATAAGCCCCAGAAATATCTCAGCTGTTGTTGATGAAACAGCAATTTTAAGATGCCGAGTTAAAAATAAAGGAAATCGAACTGTACGCATATACGTATTTTATTAATATATATTTTTATTTAACAAGCTGAGTTAATATACTCATGTCCGCTTGTCTGTCCGTCCGTATAAACACCTTATTCTCTGAAACTGCAATAGCTTGAAAGCTAAAATATATTGCAAATATATTTCCCATAGTGTGGAGCAAATTGAAGGATCATTGGGAAAAAAAACATCCCAATATGAATTCTTTATTCAATACCCAATGAACCAATGAGATATAACAGTCCAACATTATTAAGAATTAACACAAATGCGGGAAGAATGGGTACTATGGAAACTTTACCATATTGCTCAATCCACTCTACTGAGCCATATTTTATGCCTTTAAAATTTTGTTTATATTTATTATTTTTTTAACTCTTGTGCAGGTTTCGTGGATGCGCAAGCGAGATCTTCATATCCTGACCACAAACATCTATACATACACCGGAGATCAAAGGTTCTCCGTTTTACATCCGCCAAATAGCGACGACTGGGACTTAAAGATTGATTACGCACAAACCCGAGACAGTGGCATTTATGAGTGTCAAGTAAATACAGAGCCGAAAATCAACTTGGCAATTACTTTAGAGATCACAGGTAATAAATTAATTTAGAGTCACTATACTCTGTTCACAAAGCAATAGAAACCGTATTGGTATTGGTACGAAGTTTACAAAGTAATAAGGAACCTGTCCATTTGTCCGCAAAAACAAAATTTTAATTTCAATCTTAAAGCTTCAAATATATGCAAGAACGGTTGGGTGTACTCAGAAAAAGAAGAAGTATCCACAAATTTACAGTCTATTAACAGGAATTTATCAATACATCAAAATGTCAATAAATCAATATATCAATATGGCAATATATAAATATGACAATATATCCATATATTAATATATCAATATATCAACATATATGCTGGTCCATTGATGACCTACTGACATATTGACTTACTGACAAATTTGTATATTGACATATTGATAAATGATAATCAATATATTGACATATATATATATATATATATATATATTGATATATTAATATGTTGATATATATATTTTGATATATTAATATGTTGATATATATATATATATATATATATATATATATATATATGTCAATATATTGATTATCATTTATCAATATGTCAATATATAAATTTGTCAGTAAGTCAATATGTCAGTAGGTCATCAATGGACCAGCATACCAGAAGGATTGAAGAGTAAGTTGTGTACGAGGCTTTAGGCAGAACAGTCGCTGTAAAAAGCTATTTTAAAGTAAAGTGGATGATGGAAATTCATTGCATAAGTCATTTGGCATAAATCGTTACATTTTCTTAGGTCCATTACATTTTCCATAGCAGTCAGGAGAGTCCCTAAACAAGCTACATTTAGTTACAGAAAACTCTTTGCGGTTACCGTCATCAATCCATTAGTTAATAAAAACTCATTTGCTAGAATTAATCAAATATTACACTGTGAACAGAGTACTGCAAAGCGATATTCTTTGTTTTGTCAAATTCTGCAACAGGATATGCCAAAAAATGTTTTTTTTTTTCCCGTATAATTGCAGCTGAAAATGATATGAGAGATATAAATTCAGAGAAACTATACTATAATTCAAAAGGTTTGATATTATTCATAAATAAATCTTAAACTAATTTTAAGGGTAACCTAATCAGGCAAAAAAAAATTTTCACACTTTATTTCTATAAAGGAAGTCAATTGTGGTTATTGTATCTGTAACTTTATCTATATAAAGGAAGACAATTGTTGTTAATTTATCAAGAGCCAACCTCGAAAGGGAAATTTGGATTTTGAATGTTGATGTTTTTGATGTTTGATGTTTTTGATTTTTTACAATACATAATCATAATATAAATGTATATTCTTTATCAGCATCAAGGTCCAAGGTCCAATATGAATATTCTTTATCAGCATCAAGGTCCAAGGTTCGGTCGATCTAACTATATCATTATGTATATAGGAAGTCGATTCCGATATAATAAAATCATTCTTGGATAAATGGTTGTAGTTGTAGTAGTTGTAGTTGTAGTTGTATAAACATTTAACCCTAATAAGAATGGCAAAGAACGTACTTAGATAAACAACATATACGAAGACGTGGGAACTAAAAATCCTGCTTATTAAATCATTCTTTTCACGTGATTGAATATTAATTCATTAAAGCGGCACGGGCAAAAATTTTGGGATCGACGGAAATACACGTAAAGCGAGATAGTACAATTGCTTTGGCCTGCTCCGTAAATATACACGCATCGTCTGTATTATGGTAAATTAACATGCCATATAACATCTTGTTCAACCCGGAAAGACTTACATAATGATTTACAACCGAAGGTACCACGGCTCAGCGATAGTCGACTTTGATTCACTTCGAGGCGGCATTAGTTTGGAAACCGAAAAAACCGATGCTGGCACCACAAGTCGTTTAATGCTGACACGTGCTTCTTTGCGGGACTCCGGCAATTACACATGTGTACCCAACGCAGCTGTGCCGGCTTCTGTTCGTGTTCACGTCCTGACGGGTAAGTGATTCTAATGGTGTGGTTCTTATACCCGGATGAGTAATGATGAGTAACAGTATATATAGGTTTTGCGGAAATGTAATTAACAGGCAGAAGGAATCATCAAAATGACAAAAGTAAATAAATATATTCTTGATTAGGACGACGGACTTTTGACGATCTTGCTATGTCCGTCGGTCTAGCGAACGACAATTGTGTATATTGTTTTTGGTCTGACTATGTCCAAAAATACATTTTTTGAAATCCTTAAATACAACCCAGGATAGTATGCTTTATCATTGGTTTATTGATTTTAAATCAGTTATCGACCCTGTATTCCGAAATATACTGATCTGTAAAGCTCAGCTTAAGGAAATATGGCAAAGGGAGACAGACAAACGACGAAAATTGGCATCTCAACGGAGATCTGTTAAAATAGAACCTTACGATTTACATACTTATTGAAACCGGAGTCGTCCTTTTATGGCTCAAACACAGATATATTTAAAAGGAAACTGCATTATATATTATATACAATGGGAAAGGCCTACATCTTTAGCAGAGCCTAGAGAATGTCAAACATGATCTCTATTATTAAAATAAATTGTCCCGACTGACTAAGGAAATTCCGTCCGAAGAAAAGGAAAGCCGCTCTTTAAGAATATTATATCATTATTATATTATATTATTATATTAATGTTTTCGTAATTTTGTTTTTATTTTTTACAGGCGAGCAACCGGCGGCAATGCAAACAAGCGTCGCGAGCGTTATTAATGCTTCTACAGCAATCATAATTACGTATTTGATCATATCAGAAGATTTGTTGTTTAAAATTTCAGACCTAGCCCAATACATACTGCTACATCGAAGTTCAAGATGACTAACTTAAACAATTTAGCCATACCCCAAAATGTTCTTTAAAGGTAAGCTTTAATTTTAGAAATCAGCTTTTTATATAATAATATGATCTACTCCTCTTCATTATAGATTCAAGCATATTCTAAGGGAACGGTTGTAAACGAACAAGTTTACGAAAAAGAAAAACAGAAAACGAAAAAAACCAAATTTAAAATATATACAGACACTACATTAAGCATAATTCCTATAGTCTTATGTAATACCACTAACAATAATAAATACTTATATATGTATACACATAAAAAAAAAAAATATATATATATATATATATATATATATGTATATATATACATTTAGTATTACCATGTAAATATTACCAGAAGAACAATTATTTCCAGATGTCACCCAGTTCTTTGACGCGTTTTACATCCATACAATCCAGTCTAATCAATATATTTATAGAAATATTGGTAGATTCTTCTAGTGCTTTCTAAGTAAACTCGTACTGTTAAGTATGGTCTTCCTGTTGGAGATATTTGACACGAATCGAGTCTTTTACTTTATTTTAGATATACGGCTCAAAATTTTAAATTTTAGCGTTCGTAACGAGTAGCCTAATAAATAACAAGTAAGAGCTTCTAGTCAGGAGCTCCCGACTAGGGGATACCCTGAACCCTCTTCTTCCAACATAAAATGCATATATATATTCTATTTTAGAAGCTATATGTCAAGTTTGTTGACTCTAGCTCTTAATATTTACCAAAATTGCCCAAAAAACAGGATATCGATATCGATTTTTATCGATGCTTCGAAACGGAGTAAGTTATCGATTATCGGAAACAAACTTGATCTGCGCGGGAGCTAGGAGCACCTACATCTAATTTCAAGTCTCTAGTTCTAATAGGTTCTGAGATCCTTGCGTTCATACATACGGACGGACGGACGGACGGACAGACAGACAGACGGACATGGCTAGATCGACTCGGCTATTGATGCTGATCAAGAATATATATACTTTATGGGGTCGGAGATGCTTCCTTCTGCCTGTTACATACATTTGGATTTCACACAAATACAATATACCCATTTTTAATGGGTTCAGTGTATAAAAAGCCCAGAATATTTGAAAAAAATGTATTTTCCAACACTGCACTTAAAAACTAGGGTCGGTGTTGCATAAAAGTAGTAAAATAAATGGTCGAGTGTCAACCAGATTTTGTTTAAGCAGATCGGGTCACTTTTGTTATATTTACACGCACGAATATTTTTATTCTTTGAATTTACATTTTATGTTATTATATTTATACAAAGCAAAGAACTAGCTTAAAAACTAAAATTATATGGATTTACATTATTACCCTGGCAGCTGAGACCTTTAGCTAACTCATAAGTCGTACATATATTGGTATTTAGTACATTTAAATGATTTGACCAATTATGCGATTATATGTATATTAAATTGGTTCTGTGCAGTGTCAGTCTTGTTGTCCGTCCGTCTGTCTGTCTGTTTATATTTCCCACAGCAAAGTGGCCTTAAGTTTGTAATTTTAAGAGAGCTTTCTCGAAGATTAGAAAGGCTCTTTCGTTGCTCTTTCTTATCGTCTGGAACTTGAAATTAATTGTTGTCGCTTATAGAGTGGTTTTGCTTTAGCTGTTGGATTTTGTGTTCCATGGGCTACATTTATAGGTGTGTTCTTCTCAAACTCGGCTGTCTTTGCAAATAATGTTGCTCCGCCAATGTTGGATATACTAGTTGGTAGCTTTGGTTCGGAAATACTCGTATTTCGAACTTTACTCTCTAAAGAAATTGGGAATATATATATATATATAATAATTTCTTTATGCTTTATCGAGTACCTTGAATTATATTTGCCCGTGTTGGCTGTAAAGATGATTCCTCCGGCATTGATATTTGCAGACTGGCTGAAAACACGTTTGGGTGTTCCAATAAAATAGGCGTTGATTGACGCCTTCCGTCAATTGAAAGCGCCGAATCGTAAGTTCCATCTGGTTTGGATTCCCCAACTTGAGCACTTTAAGAAAAATATATTTTATGAATATACATTATACTATATTGTAAAGAGACAATAATTATGATAATTTTAATCAAAGATCGACTCCAGTTTCTCCTTTAAAATATGCACGACATTAAATATTTTCAGCAGAACGGGCCAATTTTAATTAATTTTATTTCAAAATATACGAAAAACTCTGGTTTGAGCTGAAACTAATTCTGAGGCTTGCAGTAAAGAGTAAAACCCATTCTATACACAAGTTTCTATACGTAATGCCCGAAGAGTCATGGCTTATATTGTTAGTTTTAAGTCTCGGACGACTGCAAGGACATAATAGAAAACAAGTAAGAGGTTCTAGTCGGGAGCTCCCGACTAGGGGATACCCTGAACCCTCTTCTTCCAACATCAAATGCATATATATATTCAATTTTAGAAGCTATATGTCAAGTTTGGTGACTCTATCTCTTATTATTTACGGACGGACGGACGGACGGACAGACATACGGACATGGCTAGATCGACTCGGCTATTGATGCTGATCAAGAATATATATAATTTATGGGGTCGGAGATGCTTCCTTTTGCCTGTTACATTCATTTGGATTTTGCACAAATACAATATACCCTTATACCCATTTTTAATGGGTTCAGGGTATAATTATTTTGTAAAGCCCCAAGCTTGGTCTCCCATCAGCCGTCAGCCTTCAGTTAGTTAGTCGATGCAAATGAAATCTTAGGATATCTACTTGATATATCAAAAGAGTGAATACTCTTGTTTAAAAATAAGGATAATAATACAAAATTCTTACTTTAATAATTGATTTAGTTTCTTCGTAATTATAACGTGTAGTTGCTCTGGACACTTATCCAGCATATGGGAGTAAAGCACGTCTACAAGCTCAACAGGCACTTTAAAGATCTCTTCATAGTGATCAATCATTATTCTGCAAATAAAAAAGATAGGATTGGATTATCAATTTAAATTTAGGCTGAATATTTGAAAATCAATTAGCCAAAAAAACAAGCAAGAGGTTCTAGTCGGGAGCTCCCGACTAGGGCATACCCTAAACCCTCTTCTTCCAACATCAAATATATATATATATATATATATTCTATTTTAGAAGCTTTATGTCAAGTTTGGTGACAATGGCTCTTAATATTTACCAAAATTGCCCAAAAAACAGGATATCGATATCGATTTTTATCGACTACTTGGGAACGGAGTAAGTTATCGATTATCGGAAACAAACTCGATCTGCGCAGGCCCTAGGAGCACCTACATCTAAAATTTCAAGACTCGTATAGGTTTTGAGATCCTTGCGTTCATACATACGGACGGACGGACAGACAGACGGACATGGCTAGATCGACTCGGCTATTGATGCTGGTCAAGAATATATATACTTTATGGGGTCGAAGATGCTTCCTTCTGCCTGTTACATACATTTGGATTTTGCAAAAATACAATTTACGCTTATACCCATTTTTAATGGGTTCAGGGTATAAAAATGAAATGTTTTTGATTTGTGTCTAGTCGAAGTCTTATAACAAATTTTTTGATATTATCGATATGGAAAGAGATATAAATGAGTTCAGGGTATAAAGATATAAATAATAGTTATGAATTTAATAAAAGTAATCAATGAATCGCTCTGTGGCCTAGATATTACCTGATCACATTTATTGCGTCTACCATATTTCCATGCTCTTTATATTCAGCCGTTTTTGGCACATAATCCCGCAAAATATTTGGAGCAAACACTGTGGATAAGTTGTTGCTGTCCATTTTGTTTCCATTCATTTGGATTGTACCGTCCGGGGCGCATATATCATCACAATGAGCAGCTACATTTCCCAGAAACTTTAGTAAGACATACAATGTATCTCTATGCACAACAGGCAGCAGTTTTATAAGGTGAGATATGGCTTCCAGCTGAAGGCGCCGATTTCGTATCCCTAAAAAAGTATAAATTTTGTTCAGTCTCAGTCTTCAGACTAACCTAATCTCCGTGCGTCTTACGTTGAGTCTCCAAAAATGTTGTATATAATCTTTTGCACAGGAGGGGCTCAGGGAGATCTCGTAAAAATTCCTTAAGCAATGTCGCTACATCATGTGGACATGTATTTTCAGGAATGCACATGTTGCAGTTCTTATCAAATTCCTCACGAAGCTAAAATATTCATATGTTTATTAATTTGTTTATAAGCAAATGAAAATTATATGGACTTACTTGTTTTACACGCTTCTGCGATGTACTAACTCGAAAGAGACCGACTTTTTGGAGACCATGTTCTTCCAAATATTCTATACAGATTATTATAAACATAGGCACATTTAAAAAAAAACTGTTTTTTGATCCTTCGAATAGTATTCTGTCGAGATCCAGTTCAACATTCCTCATGTCAAAATGACTGCGCGACATTTGCATTGACATCGAGGCAGATTTTTGAAGATTTGTCATGTAGTCAGAGGAAGCCCCATGCTTTAAAGATTTCGTTGGCAAACTTTCATAGGAACGTACCTTTAGTATAAAGAATATGCACAAACCTAATTAATTTAATTTAGTGGTTATTTAAAATGGTAAATACATACGTTATCATTTAATTTTCCAACCCTGCTAGAAAATACTGACGTCAACGTATGCTTCGAACCGGTATCCATTCCTCCGCCTCGCTTTCTGTCCCTGGACAAGCAGGATTCCAAAGAAGTCCCAAATAAAATATCGCGTCCGTCTTATTTAAATGAACATACAAATTATTAAACTGACATACTACATTATTATTTTTGGAAATTAGTTATTAGATGTTATTAGGTGAACGAATATTTGAAATGCACATTTTATTATAGAACACTTAACTGAAATTTATGACACTTTTAAAAGCTGAAAAAAGCATCTCCAAATAAATTAATTGTTGCCTTACAAATTACACATTTTTATACCCTGAACCAATTTAAAATGGGTATACGGGTATATTGTATTTGTGCAAAATCCAAATGTATGTAACAGGCAGAAGGAAGCATCTTCGACCCCAAAAATTATATATATTCTTGATCAGCACCAATAGCCGAGTCGATCTAGCCAGGTCCGTCTGTCTGTCTGTCTGTCTGTCTGTCTGTCTGTCCGTCTGTCCGTATGTATGAACGCAAGGATCTCAGAACCTATAAGACCTAGAGGCTTTTAGATGTAGATGCTCCTAGTTCCCGCGTAGATCGAGTTTGTTTCCGATTATCGATAACTTACTCCGTTTCCAAGCAATCGATAAAAATCGATATCAATATATTGTTTTTTGGGCAATTTTGGTAAATAATAAGAGCCAGAGTCATCAAACTTGACATATAGCTTCTAAAATAGAATAAATATATGCATTTGATGTTGGATGAAGAGCGTTCAGGGTATCCCCTGGTCGGAAGCGCCCGACTAGAACCTCTTACTTGTTTAGCATATAAGTAGGCATATAAATTTACTTTAAATATCAAAAAGAGTGTTAAACGAGAATGAGATGAATTAGATTTGAAATTTATGAATTTAAGAATTTATTTCTTATTAAAAGCACTGCTTACTGTGTTCGTCCTTTTTGCCGATATCGAAAATGCTTGTTGTAAGCGCTCTTTTCTTTGATACAACTCGTGTCTTCTGAGTTTTACGTTCCAAATCTAAATATTTACATAAGTGCAATTGATAAACTTACATAATATGTACAAGGTGCTTGATATATAGCTACATATATTGTAATATTGGATTTGTTCAGTGACCGTATCACTTTCTGTCCATCTGTCTGCACCCAATTTTTATAAGGAGTAGGAGGTATGACCGACCATACAATGTATTTGATCTCGATCAGGACGCCGAGCTGAATAAATTTCACCATGTCCGTCTATTAGAGATTTGGAAATGCATTTATCATTTCTTCTCGATATGTTGTCCCATTTTCAAAATATCGATAAAAATCGATTTTAAGCTTTGTTTTTTTAAGCAGTTCTCAAAAACTATAAGAGGGTATCTCGTTCGAAATTCTTATTCGATTTGCGCAAGCACTTCAAATAATAATACTAAAAATGGGCACTTTAGCTCTAAAACGTTAGAATTATATAGAGAAATGTTTGAGTCGAACTTTTGACCAGACTTGTAAACGGATCTGCCGGACGGAAAGTAAGACGGACAGTACATTAATCCAATATAATCTTTTTAAGTTCTGAACAAGTTGAGATGGCAATGATATTATATTAACTTACCTATATTCGTTCCAATATTTAGTTCCTTAATTTTTTCAAGAGCAATATGCATAAGGAACTCTGCTTCAATATCGGAAAGTTTTTCTAAGGATGTATCCGTTAGTTGTAGGACCTGTCCTTCTTCCGATATCCATGTACAGTTCTCCTACGCAGAAGAGGATGGGAACGTTTTAATTTAGTATTCGAAATTTCCAAATTTATCAGTCCGACTAGACAATGTCACAAGATCATACTTTTTGGGATGGGGCTGTGATCAAACTTTTTGTTGGTGCCAAGTGCCGAATAACATTTTCTATTTTTATTTTGTTGTACTTATTTAAAGTGCGTTAAACATAGTTGATTTCAAAGGGGTAATAATTAAAAAACTAATAGAATGGAATATACAAAAAGTTCAAGATATTTTTACATTAAGCAGGAATTCTCTCATTAAGCTCTAGGAATAAACACACAAATATCTAATATATAGTACATATTGGAAATCACAATTTAATATACATTTGATTTAAGAGGAAGCTTAAAAATTTGTCACGTTACCTTCGACCTGGGCACAGGGCATCTTCTAGTCGGGCACTCCGTACTAGAGAATTATGTCACTTTATTTAAGGGTTTTTTTTCTTACCGAGGGAGCCCAAGTTTGCCGATGTGGGACAAAATCTTGACTGTGGTTTTGTCTACTTTGACATTTCGAGCGACTTCCCCAAATTTTTCTTGAAACAAACTGTCCGACATTAGATAACGATTTGGATTTTTGCATATTTGTCGTTTCATTTTTAGAATCTGAAAAACCACGACAAAATGAAATAAAATAAAAGCTCAGTATATTATATATATGTAAATGAAATCTCTAACAGTAGCACCAAAGACAATATAAACATTAAGATGAGTAACGCCCATACATTTGAATGCGACGCAAAATTTCTAGCCTGGCTTCTCATCTGACTTTTCCCACTTCACACGACACTCCAGCCGACTGTCTCTTCGCTCTCCAAAAGCCAGACGAACGAATGCCGAAGTCGCGGCTTCTTGATGCTGACACAAGCAACGAAGTTAAGTTAGTCGCCAGCCTGTCTTCGATCGTGCTCTGCGTCGACGCTTTCGGCCCTCGTAGAGCCTAAGCTGAGAAAGAATTCTACATTTAGCGTTTTCGGCTGTGAGAGCGCAATAATACAGATTTCGTTTTTGTTCTGAATTTTTAAAAGATCAAGCCGCATAGTAGCATGTTGTTGTATGGCGTTGCTCATCTTATTGTTGATGATATTGTCTTTGGTAGCACCGTCAAGCATACATAAATTTTGAACATTAATACACATTCAAATTGTTATTTAAAAACCGTGCACTTTCCGCTTGAATCGTATTGTGGCTATGTTCTACTGTGGTTCTGTAGCGGGGAAAAATCTCGAGAAATTGTATATAATATTATATTACAAAAAATTATATAATAATACAAAATACAAAATCTAGGTCCCCTCCTTTACCTCTTCCTGAGGATGTATATCATCCTACTTTAGAGATTGCAATGCTCAATTGTAGCCCCGCCGTTGCTTTCGCAAAGGAAATTATTCATTGCCGAATCAGCTTATTTATGCAACCGATTGGTATTTCTTATATGGCTCGGTTGCTACCATTAATTTTTTATACCCTTGCAGAGAGTATTATAATTTTGTCGTGAAATGTGTAACGCATAGAAGGAGACATCTCTGACCCGATAAAGTATATATATTCTTGATCAGCATCAACAGCCGAGTCGATAGAGCCATGTACGTCTGTCCGTCTGTCTGTTTCTATGCGAACTAGTCTGTCAGTTTTAAAGCTATCTTAATGAAATTTTGCAGAAGTCCCTCTTTCTGTTGCACGCAGCTCATATGTGAAAACCAGCTGGATCGGACCACTAAATCATATAGCTGCCATAGGAACGATCGGTCGAAAATTAAGTTTTTGTATGAAAACACATTTCGTTTATCAAGATATCTTGACCAAACTCGGCACTTATTAGTTTTACTTTACTCCTCATATATATGCAAAATCCTATTAAGATCGGACCACTATATCATATAGCTGCCATGGGAACGATCGGTCGAAAATTATGTTTTTGTATAAAAAAACATTTTGTTTTTCAAGATATCTTGACCAAACTCGGCATTTATTAGTTTTACTAAGCTCCTCATATATATGCAAAATCCTATTAAGATCGGACCACTATATACCACTATATAGCTGCCATAGGAACGATCGGTCGAAACCTAAGTTGTTGTATAAAAAAACAGTTTGTTTATCAAGATATCTTGACCAAACTCGGCATTAACTATTTTCCATGTGTTTCTTGGATACGGGCAAGGCACTATAAGCATTATGAAAAGGTTGGGTCTGCAAGGGAATTAGATCTTCGGCGTGCCGAAGATAGCTTTCTCGTTTTATATCACCCTAAACTCCCTCTTAGATGTGTGTATTCCAAAGTCAATTCCTTCGACTACTTTTTCAAAACCACCTTGGATTACTCCCAGATTTTCACATCTAAAAAAAGTAAAATCTTAATATTTTAAAAAGTTTAAAAAGTCTGGTTCGTATACAGACTTGGCTAAATATTCCATAGCCAAGTCGAACTTCTTTCTTCTAAATTCTCAATGCTAACTCGTTGTAAAAGGCAATTTTCCCAAAATCCGAGACAGTTTTATAATTTTGTAAACTTGAAGCGTAAATCTTCAAGTTTGCCATCTTCTTTTTCTCTCGGGATGGATAAAGCTAGCAATGACTCTGATTCTGCTACCCTCTTTGCTAGCTTTTTCCAATCTATACCAATATTAATTCTTAACCGTATGCTACTACTTTCTCTTGTTCTACACATGTTGCTATGATTGCCAATTCCACCCTCCTTTTAGCTATAAATTCTTTAAAATCTTCTTACTCTCCTGGGCTTGAAAATATTGCTAGTTGTCTACTCAAGGAGTGTAATTCTTCCCTTCTTCGTCCATTGCTCAAGCTTTTTTATCTATCCTTTAAAACTGTCTTTTCATCACTTCGGAAAGAATCTTATATAATTTCTCTTTACAAGAAAGGTCGAAAGTCTGATATACATAATTACAGGGGCATGGCAAAACGGTCTGCTATTCCTAAATTATTTGAAAAAATAATCAATTTGAATTTGCAGCATTTCTGCAAATCAGTTGTTTCCCCTCTTCAACATGGATTCGTAAAGAATCGGTCAACTACGACCAATCTGCAGAGATGCTTGGTAAATTATGTTTTCCTTTCGAAAATGCAAACTGATGTCATTTACACTGACTTCAGTAAGGCGTTTGACTCTGTGTACCATGACATTTTACTTTTTAAACTTGACCGAATAGGTTTCCCCCGTCTCTTTTGCTTTGGGTTAATTCTTATTTAAAAGATAGGACCCAAAGAGTAATGCTGAGGCTGACTACCTCTAAACAGGTTCACGTTACCTTTACTCTTTACTCTTTTTATAAATGATCTCCCCTCTGTTATATCACATGCCCGTGTCATATCATACACTAATCCCCTACATCATTCTCGACAACACGATTTGAATTGCATCTAAATTGTTCAAAGTGTATGTTTATGACTTTTAATCATACTACACCTTATCTTGTCAGTTATACAATCGACAATATCCCTTTGCAATGTATACTAACAGTTAAGGATTTAGGCGTTCTTTTTGATTCTAAACTCTGCTTCAATCTTCACAAAGATACCAACGTTAATGGTCTAAAGAATTTAACCATCCTTTTATAACGAAGCTTCTGTACATCTCTCTTGTTCGGCCTATCCTTGAATACTGCTTTTGCATCTGGTCTCCGCAGTATAACTATAGCTAGGATCGTATTGAACCTGTACAGAAGCAATTTCTGCTTACAAGGTTTAAATTGGGACCCTAATCTTCGGTTGGCATCCTAATCCAGCAGGTTGCTTCTTCTTAACCTTCTGTCGTTAACTTACCGTAGGACGGTGTTGTCGGTGTTATTATGGCTTGCATTACGCATTTACCAAACTTTCTCTACCCCAAAATATAATCGTTGCTTTCTGGATACCTTCGGGAAGTCACTGACCATTCCCAGCTATGAGCAGGGGCATAGCTTGCCGGACAGGCTGTAAATTCCCCCCCCCCCCCCCCCCCCCCCCCCCTCTTTGTCCTATCTACTTAACACTCTTTATATCTAGCTTACATTTCTTTACTTTATTAACAATCTTCTTACTTTCTTTTTTCCTATTAAAATTAAGATTAAAATTAAGATTATTTTTAATTTAGCTTAAGAACACTTTTTCCTAATAACACCCTTCTGCTTAGATGTAGGCTCTAATAGCTTCACTGACAAAATTAGCTGTGAAAAGGCGAACAGCTGGCCGGACTGGCATATAAAACACCTCCATCGCTCGGTGATGCTATTTAGAAAATTGCGTTCTTTAACTAGGCTTTTAGCATATAATTACATTATCTACTGTATAATCTATTGAATAATGAGGAAGACACTCGTTTTGTCGACCATTAGAAAATAAATAAATAAATAAAAACTAAGCCCAAAATCTTACAGTCCGACCTGCACTACGTAAAGTTTCTAACGGCTTGGCTGTCTTTGGATATCTGCGCATTTTATACACAGTCTGTCTTGTAGATCAGTATATTTTCTGTTGGTGTGGTGATTATGTTATATTCAATATTGTTGTTTAGCATCAAATCGTCCCAAAACTCATTTTCAACGATCTTTGCTCTAAGTCCTATGAGAGGGGTCAAACAATAAGAAAATTGATGAAAAATGGATGTATTAAACTTGAAACGAAAAACTTGAACCGGGCAAGCTCAAAAAATACCAGTTGCCCAATAAAAATACCCTTACATATTGTATCATTATTTTATTTGTATTTTTATGTGTATTTCACCATTTAGCACATAAACTTCAATCAACAAATCTTCCACTCTTTCTCAAAACTGTGAAGGTAATGGCGCGTAAATAGGTAAGATCATTAAGAGCTGACTAGCAGCTGACTCGACCTATAGTATAGGCGGAAAATACCAGGTATTCTTAAATATTGTATAATTTTTGTTTATTTTTATTTGTATGTGTGTCTTTCTTTATCTTTCTTTATTTAACTATCCAGTCTCGAGCACTTTCGCAGACATCCGTGTTCAATCAACTCTAGTCTACAAGTAACTCCATCACCTCTTTCTCAACACTGTCTGACTAGCAATCCTTTACACAGTACTGGATGTACAAGCCTGTTACAATATGCATACAAATTCAAATGCCCAACGAAGTTCCTTGCTACCCCTCACAGAATAAATATTTTAATCCCTTTAACCTTTTAAGTGCTCACTTATATTCTCACTAGCAAATATGAACTGGCTTTGCTCAGACAAATTATTATACCCTGAACCCATTAAAAATGGGTATAAGCAAAGACAATATAAACACTGTTTATATTGTCTTTGGTATAAGGGTATATTGTATTTGTGCAAAATCAAAATGTATGTAACAGGCAGAAGGAAGCATCTCCGACCCCATAAAGTATATATATTCTTGATCAGCACCAATAGCCGAGTCGATCTAGCCATGTCCGTCTGTCCGTCCGTCTGTCCGTCTGTCCGTATGTATGAACGCAAGGATCTCAGAACCTATTAGAGCTAGAGACATGAAATTTGATGTAGGTGCTCCTAGTGCCTGCGCAGATCGAGTTTGTTTCCGATAATCGATAACTTACTCCGTTCCCAAGCAATCGATAAAAATTGATATCGATATCCTGTTTTTTTGGGCAATTTTGGTAAATAATAAGAGCTACAGTCACCAAACTTGACATCTAGCTTCTAAAATAGAATATATATTTGCATCTGATGTTGAATGAAGATGGTTCAGGGTATACCCTAGTCGGGAGCTCCCTACTAGAACCTCTTTACTGTTATTTTTTTTTTTCAAAAACAGCTCTTGCAAATGTGTACAAGAACCTACATCTATGCCGATTTCCTGCATAAATGGCAAACTGTTAAAAATGAATGCTTGTTTTTGATTTCACTACTCACAATTTTTGACTCAGAAATTATGCCAATGTGTTTGTAAAACTCCAAAATTAAGCTTAAAGCCAATCTGACAAAAATTAAACTTAAATTTTATTAACGAAATGCTACAAAACTTTGTTTTTAATTAACAAAGTACATCGATCTGCCTAAACCCGACATATTCACAGACGGACGGAAGACGGACCTTTGCTAAACTTCAAACCTTTGATTAAAACTTTGCACGGCTCAGCTCGTATGATCGAGAATATATAAATATAAAAGAAAATTATATAATATAGCCAGGTTGAACTTTCGGATTCAATCGACTAGCTAGTCGAAAAGAATTATTGGGTTAATGGAGGTAAGACTGTAATCTAAAGGAAATTATATATATTTTTTGTTCATTCGCGGGGTTGAGAAGGGAACGATTGAAAGGATAGAGAATCGGACGGATAGGCTAAGGGACAAGAAAGCGGATATTGCACAAGTCCAATTACTTTTTTTACTTTGTTAACAAAATAGAAAACAAAACTTTTAAATTGATCTATGTTGTTCTTTGAGTCCTCCTAGAAATGCGCACATACCATATACATACATTTGGGTGTACGTATACTTACTTATAAATGAATCATTTGTACTTCCATATTTTAAGCTGTGAGTATTTGAGGGTTCCGAAGAACCTGCGTGCCAAAAATTGGATAGAAAATGCGAACTCGACGTTAGAATGGCGCTCGCGGTTCTTCCAGTTTTCTCCTTTGGACTATGAATGGGACTTGTTGGGGAGGTGGGCGCAGATAGGCAAACCGATTGTGGGTTCTTTCTGTGCTGGGCAACGTTTTCATGGTTCCGCTCTTGAAAGCTCTTCTCCCACTCCATTTTCTGGCGTATGCGCTCATCTAGATCTTTTTGCCATGCGATATGGGCATTTCGCAGGTTCTTGGAATTCTCGTTGCCGCGTATGAAATCCAATGCAACCAGAGCCCAAGCGTCTAGGGTTTGTACAGCCTTGTTGTTGCCCTCATCCATGCCGGGTGGATTTATTTCACCTTTTGCCTTAATGTTTCGCAAATTTCGATCATAATTGACCGATTTAAAGCGACTTGCATCATCATCCTGTATACTCTTTTTCCGAGCCATTCTCAAGTATCGTTTAATTGTATCGCTCACGGATTGGGATACGTCTTCATTGTCGATGGAGCTTCTTCTGTGGTTCGAATTGACCGTCAGAGAACTTTTGTCGACCTCTTCGCCTTCCGATTTGATTTCCAGCATTTGTTCATATTGTTCTGCGATTAATTTTAACTCACTCAATTGAATAAAATTTGTTTGGCTCCCACAAGAGTTCAGGGACTTTTCGCGAATTACATGGCTATGATTATTGTTATTTGTATTAAGAAGCGCATGTCCTTGCAGGCTTTTTGTACTGTGGCTAAAATCCAGAGATTCAGGTGGTTTTTGTTGCCGTTTTGTTGTATTCGACGTTGACTTTTTATCGGCTTTGGGGTCTGGTAATTCACGACTATTAATTGTATATTTTGAAGTATTCTCAAAACAACTTAGATCTATGGGCGCGATTTCTTCACTGCCCGTATAATTGAACAGACTTGAAAATGAGGTAGATCTGGCTAAATTTGATTTTGTCGGCTCAGAGGAATGTAAAATACGATGTAGCTGCTGTTTTTTTAAAAAATTATATATCTTTTTTAAGAGTGCCTTATCTTCCAGAATAGCTGGTGTTAATTGGTCCACGTGTAACCCGCCTAGTGACGAGCTCGAAAGTTCTTTTAGGCGATCCAAAAGAACGGATTCATGATTCATATTATTGGACCTGGATTCGGAAGATATTGTGGACAAATTGCTAGATGTCTGTGCTTTGTCATAATTTGGACGTCGCGAACTAGGCGAAGATGTTTGGTCAGGCCGAACGGTTTTAGTCCCGAGCAGAGTTGTTGTCTTGTAAGAGTCCCGAATTTTAAGGTACGACTGCAAAAGTTCAATTGTTTGATCAACATTCTCTTGGTTTCTCAGCTGCGACTGCGCTGCATAATTGCCTCGATGTTGTGCAAGTATCTTAATACGTTTTCTAGAGCTTTTGCTGGCTCCCGGAAACGAAGATTTCCGACGCCACAATACAAATCGCGGCTCCGAGGCACAAACACGCTGAAACTGCGCTTCGATTTCGGGTATGCTACTCTCGGCACCGTGTGGCTTGCCCTCGGGTAACAATTTGCGACCAGCGTCGGTCATATATCTCCAAGTTTTTCGAGTTAATAGCCAACGTTCCCGTTTCTTCTCCTTATCTTTGGCTTGCAAACGTCGACGGCCAGATGCCGATGCCGATGCCGATGCCGATGAAGATGTTTTACCCAAACCTTGCCTTGTACAATTTGTTGAGCTCTCGATAATTGCATCTGTCTGATTGTCAGTAATGTTCGAGTTCGTTAGCGACAAGCCCACTTCATGAGTAGTAGTTCCTTCGAGTCTATGAAGCTCATCGATCATACCATCTAAGGGGCCCGATCTTTTTTTAATCACTGTCACGGGTTGACGCAAAGAACTGACCAACTGTCCCGAAGAACTTGGCATTATATCTTTTTTTACATCCAGAGCTTGTGATTTTGTGTATATTGATGCCATCTGAAACAAATACAATCATGAATACTTTTACGAGGTTCGATGTTCAATTATTTTTATCAATATAGTAGGCACCAGTTATGGCAAGAATCCTTTGAAATGTGCGTTATGATCTTTATAGTATGTTTTGCAGACATGTTCGATAGGGAATGGCAATCAAATCTTCAACGTCGCCTTATTAATGCAATTTTCTTAATGCAAAGTGAAGAGCACCCAAAATTTTTGTTTCATTTCCCTCGTATGTTACCGTACAAAGAGAAAGAAGGGTTTCTTCGGCACGCCGAAGATATAATAACTTTTTGTCATTTGGAGAATTTGGGAACAGTGAAGTTTTGTTTGGTAAAAATATGTCAGGAAACCAAAAAATGTATATATAGTAGTAGTATATAATATAGTAGTGTGATATTGATAAGACTTGGCTCATATTTAAGCAGCATAGTTAAACTAATAAATGCCGGCTTTGCTAAAGATATCTTCATAAATAAACTAATTTTGTATACAAGAACTTAATTTGCGACCGATCATTTCAATTGCAGCTATAGTCTGATGTTGATTAGAATTAAGGGCGCATTGTTGAACTTATAAATGCCGATCTTGAGTAAGAAATACATTATGAAGTGTAATACACATGGCTCCTTCTCTACGTTCCAGTTCCCCTTTAAAAATATTTATATAAAAACCAGATTTAACAAGAGGTTCTAGTCGGGAGCTCCCGACTAGGGGATACCCTGAACCCTCTTCTTCCAACATCAAATGCATATATATATTCTATTTTAGAAGCTATATGTCAAGTTTGGTGACTCTAGCTCTTATTATTTACCAAAATTGCCCAAAAAACAGGATATCGATATCGATTTTTATCGACTGCTTGGAAACGGAGTAAGTTATCGATTATCGGAATCAAACTCGATCTGCGCAGGAGCTAGGAGCATCTACATCTAAAATATCAAGTCTCTAGCTCTTATAGGTTCTGAGATCGTTGCGTTCATACATTCGGACGGACGGACGGTCGGACGGACAGACAGACAGACATGGCTAGATCGACTCGGCTATTGGTGCTGATCAAGTATATATATACTTTATGGGGTCGGAGATGCTTCCTTCTGCCTGTTACATACATTTGGATTTTGCACAAATACAATATACCCTTATACCCATTTTTAATGGGTTCAGGGTATACAAATTTTAATTTTGTTCCTTTAGTATAGAATATGATATATTGTTTTTGTGTATAGAACAGGTGCTCCCCAAGGGAAGTCAGAAAGTTCCCATATGTATCCAGATAAGTATGTTTAGCAACAGATACAAAAAAATTCATTATGTTACCTAGGATTTTTATTCCCGTTGCATATAAGAAGCAGAACCCATTAAAAATGTGTATACGCGTAAATTGTATTTGTGCAAAATCCAAATGTATGTAACAGGAAAAAGGAAGCATCCCCGACCCCATAAAGTATATATATTCTTGATCAGCACCAATAGCCGAGTCGATCTAGCCATGTCTGTCTGTCTGTCCGTCCGTCCGTCCGTCCGAATGTATGAACGCAAGGCTCTCAAAACCTATAAGAGCTAGAGACTTGAAATTTTAGATGTAGGTGCTGCTAGAACCTCTTATTTGTTTGAAATGTACCACTATTAATTTTCCATTTGTTTTGATAAGTAGAGTAGATTGTTAAATTTGTTAATAAACATTTATTTAAGCTTTGGTTAAACAGAGGGAGGGTATGGGTCACTATTCAAGATCCATAAATATAAATAAATTCTATTTTTCTTACAATCGTTCCTTTACAAAGCATTCCAAAGAGAGCGCTCGAATTATATACATGTGTATGTGTATCAAATTGTGAAACTCTTGGGAGTATCATTGGTTTCGTCTTCACGATGTAGGCTTTCATCCAACCAAGTTTGTGACGATCAATCGATACTTTGGTATCATCAGCATTAACCGTAAACTGGTTTGAATAATCTAATTGCTTAAAGATGAAAGCCTTCGATGTATTGTATTGCATTTATATTGCATTTGTATTGGACGGATTTCGATAAATCAGTTGCTGAAAAATAATCCAGAAAGATGAAAAGTTTTGGAGTTAGCAAGCTTTGCTACGATTGTGCGGGGCCATATGTAGCTCGCAGTTTCCATGGTCACTGCCTAGGAGGATAACTCCTTTAATGATCTGAACTCAAATTGCCTGCCTTGATCCGAAGTACTCCTCGGTGGAACTGCTAAGCGATCCATGTGTTGTCGACTGCTATGGAAACTGTTTTAGCTTGGATAGCCTCGATAGCAACTGCATCTGGCGATGATCGTGAACAAAATGTGAATTGACCAGATAAAGTCAGTGATCCAATGAGGTTCAAATTGATGTGTTCAACTATATGTGAGGGCCGAGTATCTTTTATGAAATGGTGAGTGAACATGCCGAATGACTTCAGATTTTCGGTAAGCAATGCAGTGCTCTACGAAGTTCAATTACTAGATCAATTAATAGTTCAATTACTAGTTCAATTACTCAACCAACTACTGCATGGGCCATGCCATGTATCTTGCTGATAATGTCCTTTCGATATGATTTAATAGATTAAATTCGAGGATTGTAGGCGTATTATCAGTAAGTAGCTTTTATACCTCTGGACAATTTGCAGGTGAAGCATCCATGTTGAGTGAGATGAGTCCTTTTTTCATTGTCCGGTATTAATTAATTTTTTTTGTGTCCTTGCTTTTGGCAAGGATCATCTCTAAAAGTTGACAATTGCGGACAAGGGAATTTAGATAATGGTTTAAACTTTGTCTGGCAATGGTTTGATTTGACTGGGATCGACCAAATAGACGAGGAAATTCGATTGATGTTAGACCGAAACTACATTTGCTAGAGTTGTTTTTGACATGAAAATGCCAAACGATACCATCTTTATAAACGAGGGTATAGTCCTTAAGTTTAGTCCTTAATCGAAAGGCCATGTGTGTAAATGACACACCATATGGTGTCCCCGATTCGATATGGATCTAGTTATACGAACGGTTAAGATCATTATATATTTATTATTATTTTCTGGCCTGTTTGGAATGGATAACCGGAACCACATGACCGCGAATTACATGTTGGACCATTTTGAGCAAGAACTCGAATTCCATTTTGGTAGAGTAAATTTTGTCAGGAGTCAGGAAGAGGCCTTTGCAAATGTTGGTAAGTCTTTTTTCTGGATGCACTGAGTTGAATCCTCGTATTTTAATGTTGCTAAGGATTGAAGACTATAGACATATTTTCGTCCTATGGCTGCAGAAGGTATGTAACACTTCTGCACCAGAATCAATAATGAATTTCTTACAGGAGTTTGTATCCGGTATAAATAGTCGATTATAAACTGGTATACTGTGAACGTGTATCCTAACCATGGAATAAATTTGCATGGCATAAACATTGATGAAGTCTCACGAATACCAGGGATGTTGGTAGGCATTTGCAGGAGGTAGGCATTTGGGAAGTATTGGTATTGGATGTCCATCACCGGGACTCATCTCTGACTCAGCGAACTTTGCTCGAACAGGTTGCTTGAGTGTGATGTATGGATTTAATTGAATATCTGCAAATGTGAATTCTTCTCGTGTTCCTTCCGTCAACCTATGCATGGCAAGGGAAACCCGCTTTCCAGATTTTTGAAAAACATTTCTATGTTTGTGCGTCTAGACAAAAACAGAAATTACATTGCCAACAACTCCTGTCGTCCTCAATTTTGTAGTTTTCGAATAGCTTCAATTGGCCAATTTAATGATTGCGAAGTATGCCCATGAAATTGACGAGGATTGCAATTTGAGTAGGTCCTTCCTCTTCTGGTTGTTGTAGGGCTCACCAATTTGGCTTAACAGTAGGAATGTATGTATTCCACATCCATTAACACAAATAAATTATATTCTTCTAAAAATCATTGTTGCTTCAGTAAATAATCATAAAAGTGATTATTTAAACGCGTGAATGCTGATAGGTTGAGAGCTCGAGCTATAATGTGTTGAGCATACTTCTCCTAATAAGTGTAACCAAATTTGACAAAAATAAAAAGAGAAACGCAAAAATTTTTGTGAGGCCAGATCGCCACAGACCTTTACAAGAATACAAATTGGGTAATGGCCCAAAAGTTGCAAGAAATCGTAAACAACAGGTCTAATTAAAAGACATGTGCTTCAGTTAGGATAAATATTTTCACATTTACTTACAGCTTGGAAGCTTGCTCCCAACTTGCCAGAGCATTGTTGTACTTGCTGAGTTTACCAAAAAAATCATCCCATTTCCACATGGAGTATTATTCCATGTACAGTAAATGATTTATAAATTTTTAATTATTAATATACAAGAGGAAGGCAGCATTTCAAATCAAATTTGATATTGTTAAAAGTTAAATTATTTGCCTAATTGGTGTAGCATTGATATCTATGCGTGTGTTTGCGTGTGTGGGCGCGTGTGTATGTGTGTGTTCATTATATGGTTGTGGGCATGCATGCATACTTAAGCCTATGTAATATGTAAATTCACATATACATTTATAACTATGCATATATCCATATGTATGTATATTTAAGGGAAATACTTACAATAATTATTACTTTATTGTACCCAAATGAAGGGGGCTTATGTAGATATTTGTTGTCGCAGTATATTGTAATTCATTAAAATATATTCAAGAAACTGATTGTTAAATTGAATTTATTTAGAAGGCAACGATAAAAAAGAACAAATTTAACTCTATATTTTTAATTATGCAAATCTCAAAAACACATCGATTTAGACTGTTCAACAAACTCAAGTCTCGAGAATAACGTCAAATATTTTGAGAGCACTAAAAAGATAGAATACATAAAAAATCAGTTTATTCTTGAGAAAATATGGCTGTATGTATACAAATGTTTATAAATACATACAGACATCCATCCATATGTGCATGCGCGTCTCTTTACTTATGTACACATATATAAGTATACACATATACTTAAATACGCTCTCGCTATGGTGCAGACTTATGATCATGAATGTATTTGTATTGATATGGACTTATGTGAATATAGAGTGATAAACAGAAATTTTGAAAGATAGATACATATACTACACAATATATGCAACTGGGTATATCCGCATCTCTGGTTTGTTCTTATCCATGTATATCAACGAATTTTTCCTGACTGATGGAAATTTTTACTATAACTTCGTTTTATGTCAGAACTGTGCAGTAAGGCGATTTTGGCGATTTTGAATTCAACCTGCAAGTGGGAAAAAGTGACAAAAGTGTCAAACTTATATCCAGGAGAGGGTATTATAATTTTATAGTAACTGTGTAAGCACAGAAGAAGACATCTCCAACCCGATAAAGTATATATATTCTTGATCAATATCAATAGCCGAGTCGATTTAGACATGTCCTTCTGTCTATTTATCTTTATGAAACTTTACAAAAGTCCCTTACTCTGCTGCACGCAATATGTATATCGAAACCGGTTGGATCTGACCACTATATCATGTAGCTCCCATAGGAACAATCGGACGAAAATCAGGTTCTTTTATGAAAAAGATTTTTGTTTATCTAGATATCTTGATATCATTTATTAGTTTTACTATGCGTCTCATATATATACAAAATCCTATCAATATCGGACCACAATATCATTTAGCTGTCATAGAAACGTTTAGTCGAAGGTAAAGTTGTATGGAAAACATTTTCGGTTTTCTATATATCTTGACCAAGCTCAAACGAAAACGAAATATTGTTTGTATCGGGTTACTATATCATACAGCTGCCATAAAAATGATCGGACGAAAATGAGGTTCTTGTATGAACAACTTTTTGTTTTTCCAGATATCTTAACCATACCCGGCATTAACTATTTTCCCTGTGCTTCTTAGATACAAGCAAAGCATTATGAGCATTATGAAAAGGTTAGGCCTGTAAGGGTATTATATCTACGGCATGCCGAAGATATCCATTCTTTCTCTTTTTAACAGATCTCAGACTTTATGGGAACTAGAAGCCCCAGATTCGTAAAAGGCTATCTTATAGCTTCAAAACCTAAACACTTTCGTGGTTTCCTACATAAGCCTGATCTTCCACATCCAATAACCCGGGTTCAAGCCTTGGCTTGTCATTCATTTCAATGTTTTAATGAAATACCAAAGCATCTACCAAATTGGTTAGATAAATACAATGATTGGGCCTCAAGTTATTTGTGCATTGCTGCTGGGTGTATTTCAATTCGAATCAATTTAAATGAAACAAGTAAGAGGTTCTAGTCGGGAGATCCCGACTAGGGGATACCCTGAACCCTCTTCTTCCAACATCAAATGCATATATAAAATTAAAAGCTATATGTCAAGTTTGGTGACTCTAGCTCCTTTTATTTACCAAAATTCCCCAAAAAACAGGATATCGATATCGATTAAGATCAAGATCAAGAATATATATACTTTATGGGGTCGGAGATGCTTCCTTTTGCCTGTTAAATACATTTGGATTTTGCACAAATACAATATACTTTTACACCCATTTTTAATGGGTTCAGGGTATAAAAATGGTCCTTTTGAGTAATATTTCAGCACCAGTACGCTTTATTTTGTTAAAACCTTACCTTACTTCTATCCAAATTGGAGTGAGCTACCGAGTTCGCAATATAGCGTCTAGAATAATATAATTTTTTTATGAAAAAGATGTAGGTGCTCCTAGTTCCCGCGCAGATCGAGTTTGTTTCCGATAATCGATAACTTACTCCGTTTCCAAGCAATCGATAAAAATCGATATCGATATCCTGTTGTTTGGGCAATTTTGGTAAATAATAAGACATATAACTAAAATAGAATATATATATGCAGTTGATGTTGGAAGAAGAGGGTTCAGGGTATCCCCTAGTCGGGAGCTCCCAACTAGAACCTCTTACTTGTTTTATTTAATATTCAGCCTTTATTCAGCCTTTATTTTTTTATTAATGGTCGACAAGCCGAGTGTCTTCCTCATTATTCAATAGGTTATACAATAGATAATAGAATTATATGCTAAAAGCCCAGTTAAAGAATACAATTTTCTAAATAGCATCACCAAAGCGATGGAGGTGTTTTATATGCCAGTCCGGCCAGCTGTTCCCCTTTTCACAGCTAATTTTGTCAGTGAAGCTATTAGAGCCTACATCTAAGCAGAAGGGTGTAATTAGGAAAAAAGTGTTCTTAAGCTAAATTAAAAATAATCTTAATTTTAATCTTAATTTTAATAGGAAAAAAGAAAGTAAGAAGAAGAGTGTTAAGTAGATAGGACAAAGAGGGGGGGGGGAATTTACAGCCTGTCCGGCAAGCTATGCCCCTGCTCATAGCTGGGAATGGTCAGTGACCGACAACACCGTCCTACGGTAAGTTAACGACAGAAGGTTAAGAAGAAGCAACCTGATGGATTAGGATGCCAACCGAAGATTAGGGTCCCAATTTAAACCTTGTAAGCAGAAATTGCTTCTGTACAGGTTCAATACGATCCTAGCTATAGTTATACTGCGGAGACCAGATGCAAAAGCAGTATTCAAGGATAGGCCGAACAAGAGAGATGTACAGAAGCTTCGTTATAAAAGGATGGTTAAATTCTTTAGACCATCGTTTAATGAATCCAAGTACACTTTTTGCCTCATTAACGTTGGTATCTTTGTGAAGATTGAAGCAGAGTTTAGAATCAAAAAGAACGCCTAAATCCTTAACTGTTAGTATACATTGCAAAGGGATATTGTCGATTGTATAACTGACAAGATAAGGTGTAGTACGATTAAAAGTCATAAACATACACTTTGAACAAATTAGATGCAATTGATTGGCCGAACCCCAAACTTGCATAGCGTTCAAATAGTCTTGTAGACGAGAATGATGTAGGGAATTAGTGTATGATAGAATAAATTTCACATCGCATACATGAATACACGGATATGTGATATAACAGAGGGGAGATCCTTTATAAAAAGAGTAAAGAGTAAAGGTCCAAGATGACTACCTTGAGGAACACCTGAAGTAACGTGAACCTGTTTAGAGGTAGTCAGCCTCAGCATTACTCTTTGGGTCCTTTTTTTAAAATAAGAATTAACCCAAAGCAAAAGAGACAGGGGGAAACCTATTCGGTCAAGTTTAAAAAGTAAAATGTCATGGTGCACAGAGTCTAACGCCTTACTTAAGTCTGTGTAAATGACATCAGTTTGCATTTTCGAAAGGAAAGCATCATTTACCAAGGAAGTAAACTCAAGCAGATTGGTCGTAGTTGACCGATTCTTTACGAATCCATGTTGAACAGGGGAAACAACTGATTTGCAGAAATGCTGCAAATTCAAAGCGATTATTTTTTCAAATAATTTAGGAATAGCGGACAGTTTTGCAATACCCCTGTAATTTTGTATATCAGACTTCCCACCTTTCTTGTGAAGAGGAATGATATAAGATTCTTTCCAAAGAGATGGAAAGACAGAAGTTTCAAGGGATAGATTAAAAAGCTTTAGCAATGGATAAAGAAGGGAAGAACTACACTCCTTGAGTGGACAACTAGGAATATTGTCCGGCCCAGGAGAGTAAGAAGACTTTAAAGAGTTTATAGCTAATAAGAGAGAGTAGTGTGAAACAATGGGAGGAGGTATAGAACTAGCGGAAGAAATAGTATAAGGGTAAGAATTAGTATTAGGACAACCTGAAGAGTAAGTTGATTGGAAAAAATTAGCAAAGAGGTTAGCAGAATCAGTGTCATTGCTACTTTTATCCAAGCCAAGAAAAAAAGAAGATGGCAAACTTGAAGATTTACGCTTCAAGTTTACAAAATTATAAAACTGTCTCGGATTTTGGGCAACTTGCCTTTTACAACGAGTTAGATAATGCTCATAGCATTGAGAATTAAGAAGAAAGAAGTTCGATTTGGCTATGGAATATTCATATCAACCGAGTCATATAAGAAAGACCAATCGGTTGCATAAATAAGCTGATTCAGCAAAGAATAATTTCCTTTGCGAAAGCAACATCGGGGCTTATTGGCTGATGAGCACGAAATGAAAGGAATACAATTGAGCATTGCAATCTCTAAAGTAGGATGAAAGACATCCTCAGGAAGAGATAAAGGAAGGGATAAATACAAGGTCAAGTGTTCTATTCAAATGATTAGAAATTGAATTGATTTGAAACAACGAAAGATCAAGCATGCAGTCTATAAAATCGTGCTGTGCTGAGGGCACTAGATAATTTTTGGCAGTAAATAAATGTGAAGAAACTTCTCTAATGCAAGTAATATGTTTCATATAAACTTGAATATCAGAAGAAGGTGGGACATAAGAGCATTTTACATAGGTATTCCGTATAGGAAAAGACACCTTAACTGAGACAATCTCAGCGTCAGTAGGCGTACTAAAACAGAAAAGTGCTGACTGGAGAGTGGCTTTAACGGTAATTAACACCCCACCACCTCGAGTCGGCCGATCATTTCTATACAAAATAAAGTTATTAGATAAAATCTCAAAATCAGATATGGTTGAGTTCAACCATGTTTCTGAAAATGCTATTATATCCGAATCGAAGGAAGTGCTGGCCATGAAAAGATTTTTAAGCTTTGAAATGAGACCTCTAACATTCTGATAATGAATAAAGATTTGTTCAGAAGATGAAGCTAC